TAAATAAATTGTATGCCTCGGAGGCGGAATAAATAAACTTCAGACTTATGAGGCGTCGGACCTTTGAGGCGTCTGACTTATGATACGGCCCCATTTTAACATTGCATCCCCTTAATAGCAGACCTACCAAGTGTCACGCCTCCGGCATATGTCACATGCGTCCGAGTCAATTCACGCGATCTTGTTCCGTCAATTCACACGATCTTGTTCCTCAACACCTGTTGAGCGATAGTCATTATGGGGATTGAAGACACTATGGGGACAGCAGAAAGTCCCCATAACTCGGTCATAATTTCCCTTATGATAGAAAACTGTCCCATAACGCGGTGTTGGCTTACCCACGCGCCGGACAATCATAGTCACACGCCCCTAAATTGTTCCAAAAATAAATTGTTGGGGTTGGGTTGAGTGTTGTGGAGACTTTGGTTCTGCGCAAAGATCGTATAGTGCCGCAATGTGTGGTTCCAATGCCCTCGACCAAAAGAGACAGCCTCGTCCAAGGCCGGATCCAGAAAACAATGTTCTGCCCCAGGGGGAGGGACTATGTATTAATGCTTTTGTTAAGTTTTGTGTGTGGTGTACGTAGCGGCTGGCTTTTTTGCAATGTCACATAAAAAAAACGTTGGGGGGGGGCATGGCCCCCGTTGGTGTAATAGTTGTGTTAGGTTTTTTTTTCTTCATATTTTATGGTTGAACAAGGTAAATTGACTGGAGCGGGGTTTGAACCTGCAACATCCAAATTACCATTCTGGAGCGCACGGTGCTCTACCAACTGAACTTTCCAGCCCTATCTTGGTGGTTCCTCATTTTGTCAATGTCTTTTTGAAGGAGTGCTAATTTTTCTTTAATAAGAGTAGTCATGCTATTCCACATCACTGCAGAATCATACAAAAAGAAATGGTATTTGTGGTATTTAAATATAGCTTTTTTGTGGCGAAACCATTAGGCCAACCCCTATTAAATGTTTTGGTAACTTTGGACAACTAAGCATCCCCAGTGGGATAGCGGTCTATATTTATCTGCATGAATGACGTGATATTAGTCATCATCCCCCAAAGCAGACAGAGGGCTCTAAGGATACCTCTGTCTGCCACTACAATTTGTCCAAGCCAGTCAGTTTTTGGAGACATTGGGTATTTTCCAAACCTCGGTTTGATCAAAAGATTCAGCCTCAGGCTTCACCCATCTTATCCCTGGGGCAAAATTATCCAGCTCATTGCACTTTCCTGCTGCAGAAACATCTAATCAGTTAATTTGGGAGCAAAGTTTGGAGTGTTTTCCCATTGGTTCCAACAGTAACATTTCAAAGTGTTTCCAGAGTCGAAGATGAAGTCGAAGCCCAGTTTTTGGAAAATGGCCCAGTCCCCCAGTTGAATGTGCCAGTGCCCTGACCTTGTTCCCGGACTTCAGACAATACAAGTCCCTGGTCATATCCTTAGGGAACCAGTCTGTATGTGTTACTGTGCTTTTCATTAAGAATGAGGTACTGGGTTTCCAAGGGAGCAAAACATTCACGTAGGCACGATGGAATGACCTTAAATGACCTTTGTATAACGGAAAAGGTGCCCATCTCTGGACTGATGAACCGAGATGGACGTGCTTGGCGCACTCTAAAAAAAAATAGTTCAGACAGAATTGGGGCCTGCCTTTGCATTTGCAATCGTGTGCATTCCAGCGGCAGAGCCGAGTTTTGAAAGGTTAAAGTTGCGGTTGACTGGAAAGACTCTGAAACCTGACATTTCTCAAGATTGTATTTTCGTCTTCCTCAAGATTGATCATCAAAAAAAGGTAAATGACGTCACCCTTTTCCGTCTAATAAAAGTTCCAGCTGGTTTTCTCCAGATGGCTGTATTTATGTTTGTTTTCATCAGCTTTCCTCTCCAGGCTGTAGATCCTTTCATCCCTGTGTGTCTCCGAGTCGTCAGAAGTATACTGCAGGCATGCAAGTTTTCCTCGGATCCGCTGATTTCCTCGTTTTTTGCTTTTCATAGATGCCATTACAAATTAAAAAACACTGTACAAAGTCTTGTGTGGTTTGGAATTTTCTCGTTTTTCCCCAAAATTCCCAGTTGCATGCCTGATACTGGTAGTGATGCAACTGGTTTCCAGCAGCTTCCATCTGAATAGTTTCCAGCAGATGTACACAAGACGTTATTGATACTCGGCACCTGTCTGTCCTGAATAATATTTGTCAGCTGTTGACAAAGAGGCGAGATACCGCAATTTTTTTTGGTCAACTTCCTAGATTTAATAGGAGGTAGTTTTCTAGAGTATCTCTCAACGAGCTTACGTTTCTTACACGTTTCAAGTATTGTAGCACCTGCCAAGATGTCATAAAGATGCTGAGTTAGCACTTAATCTACATCCTGACAAATGAGTGTACCAGCTATTCCAGAAGTCTCTTTCTACATTTGCTTCGTTGTTGGCCCATCTCCATCATGAGCAATTACAGCAGTAGCAGTCCAGACGATTTTGGCTAACATTCACTAGCTGTTGCCTCCATGGTCTACTCTTTGTCACTCTGCCTTCATTTGCATCCTATATGATGCATAAGATGTTACTTAAAGGTATATAGTCTAGACCGCACCTTTGTCTCCAACATTGGCAATATCTTTTGTTTCTGCTTTCCTGCACTGTTTTTCCTCATCTTCCTCTATACCTAGATGATGTAACAAACATGTACTTCTCAAGTTTACCCTGGACTACTTATGTAGCACCTATGTAATGGTTTACAAGATGCTGATTGCATCCACTGCCAGAAACACCGGGGCAAACCCCTTCTCTTAGCGATAAGTGTTACTGGGTTCTTAAACGTGTTTTACACAACACACGGGACCTACGGCTTTTTGTCCCATCCAAAGGACGAAGCAATAATGGTAAAGTGCCTTGCTCAAGAGCACAAGCCCCATGTTCCCACGGTCAGGATTCGAACCCATGTACCACGGCACACGAGTCGAACACCGTAACCACTGGACCACAGCACCCCACGATTATCCGCACCATGGCAGCAGTTCCACTGTTTCTGTCCATTTCCCTAAAGATAATGCGAGGTGAAGGTGAAGTCTGTAAAATCTTCAAAGTTTCAATTGTAGAAACAATGAAAGTTTGGACAGTCGTTTTTTTGCAACTGTTACTTGGATCTACCCCGAGCCTGCATTCTAGGCACCAGGCAACTTCTTCCGGCTTCCAGCTTCTTACTCTATATTCTTTTATAGTGCCTCAGAATTGCTCTGGACGTTCTGTGACAGCTTTGTGAGCCATTTCCTTGTTTCCTCCAGGGAAGGTGAAACAAGAAGAGGAAGCATCAGGAGATGCCTAGATTGCATCTTTTTAGGCTTTAACGCCTGCATGCATGCCTGCAACCTCTCCGACACTGCGGCATGCGACTGCGAAGCACCTCAATACGGCAGGCCATGTCATCGACCAGTTTCCAATTCACCGACTTACTGGCGAAGTTAGGCAACTATGGTAAACTATAGTTCTGCCCGAGCTTAAGCCGCCCCAAATGGACCACACAAAAGAACAAAATAAAAGGCTTCAGGAGATACCTAAAAAAGATGCCTTCTCCAAGCCTTTAGCTCATACCATCTTCACTTTAAAGTCATCCCCAGTGGGTATCTCAGTCTAAGCTTACAAGGCACACCTTTTCCCCCTGGTTAACCATTTCCCCCCTGGTGAACCGTTTCCTGCCCCTGCCCCCTGGCACCCCCAGCCAACCTCCCAGACATCACGAATCCACCGCTATCAGGTAATTGGTTTAGAGTCGGTAACCAACTCCAGCAGTCCTGGTGTTGCACTTGCCAGTTTTATGCCATCTCATCTCGGCCTGCCATCTACCTGAACTTCCTTTACGTATCCAGCACAGTTTTTGTTCGTTTGATTCTCCCTGCATGGATGCAAAAAAAATGGTACAAGTACCTCGTGTGATTAAGCAGGGAACAATTTTGTTGAGTTGCCAAGTGAGGAAAATTGTTAAATACGGTGAAGTTGTGTTCATCAACTACGTGTTACCAGCCATGGTATCAAATGATATTTAGTACACATGACTGGTACCCTACTAACTTTAACGTTTTGTTTGTTAACCCTCTTATGCAAACATACATTCTGTGCCAAGTAGTCCTTTCAGTCAAAATCAATCAAGTGACTGTTTTCAACAGTTAAGAACTCCTAGCCTACATAAAGCAAAATTGACTGGCTGTGACTGTTTAATGTTACTCGATACAGCTTTGCTTTGGCTGTGGGTAATGGATAAGCCAGCTGTGCCCACAACTTTCTTGCTTTGTCTGTTCATGGTCTGTTGACCCAGTTTGACTAGTCACAGTGCTTGCTTGACATATGATCTGACTGCTGGCGACTAGCCTGTGTTAAAAGTTTAGAAGGGAAGTGGATGGAAATTTTGACTGTCTGTGACTGTTTAAGTAGCAGGAGGATTAAGCGATCCAGTGAACTTGGCCAAGAGGCCGAGCTTCACTAAGCTACTAATAAGTCTCAGCAGATTTCCGACTTTAGCAAGAACCTGTTGGGAACCAGTCACTAGCAGTGTGAATTTCACTGCAATATTGGCTGGTAACCTTGATTTGCTTAACTTGTTCTACTATGCTTAGCGATTCTTGTGCTTAGTAGCCCCGTGAATTTGTTCCCAGCTGTCTAAATTCCCTTCGAGGGATACCAGAAGACTTGGGTTGCGCCAGACACCACGCCCAACACAATCTGGGCCCAATTTCTTTTCCGGACGAGCTTCAAGCATGATCCTGCTTTCACAAGGCAGCTTCCGAATCCCAACCAAAGTCAATTTTATTTTTTTTTGGCGCAGAAGTTTGCAAAGAAAGCACAGAACAAATTTGCTGAGGAAAAAACATTAACCAGCCTCAGTGCCATTTACTATATACCTTTTGAAGGTGGTTTCCAGCGCATTTTTGCTTAACACCTTTCTGTTTTAGGAATTTTGGCCCAGAATTTTCTTAAAAAAATGTTTTTGTACCTTTTTTTTTGCTGTACAGATTCAACAAGAAGGTGACAATCCTCCGACCTGCTGCAATTTCCCAGTTGCCGTCGCTAGGGACAGCATGTTTGTCTTCTCAGGACAGAGCGGTGCCAAGATCACCAATGACCTGTACAGGTTTTGCTTCCAAGAGAAGAGGTGAGGTACCAGACTTGTAAAAAAAAATATTGTAAAGCTATTTGTCATAAAAAAAAAAAGCCACACACAAAAAGTGTTGTAAAGCTTATTTTATATACTCCATTTCTGTATTTCTTTAAAATTTCTTTTATTTATTTCTTCATTATCAGCCAACAGTGGAATACAGCCGGTGAAATTATTAGAAATTACAAACCTATTAAAGTTATAACCATATCATGAAGTAGTAATAAAGAGCAATAAACAACAAATGACGACAACAGAATTGAATTTTACATTCAAAACAAAAACAAATGAAATTTAAGGAAATGGAGCTTCGTGCGCTATGAACTCTTGATTGATCAACTCTTGATTTATCAACTCTTGAATGTTCAACTCTTGAACGATTAATTCGCGAACACACAGACACTCTTGTTTTACTATACTCTCGAGGACAATGCTTTGTGTTTCCCTTTGTCCCTAAAATATAACACTCTCCCATAGACTCACCACACAAACTTACTACAGAGGACCGTTTCCAACAAAAGACCAAACTCCTGAGGACTGAAAGGATCTGTTGTTCTCCCTTTGTGTCGGTCCTCGGGGGTCATGTAGAACACATATGCCTTTTGTGTTTTATAGTATAGTGGTGCTGATCAAAAGGATGAACATATTTCCTTGCATTTCAACAATTCCTCATCCTGAATTAAGTACTGTGTTCAATATGTTCTGTTGTTAGATGGAGGAAGATCCAGTCAGACCACATCTTGAAAGGCACGCCTCCCCCTCCCCAGCGACGCTACGGGCACACTATGGTGGCCCACGACAGACATCTCTATGTCTTCGGTGGAGCAGCTGATAACACGTTGCCCAGTGAGCAATATTGGTAAGTATTGGAGAGGCGGGGCTAGTCTGATGCAGGGAAGGGGGGGGGGGCATAATCAGGGGAAATATCAGTGTTGTAGTACTCGTATTCGGTATTCAAACTCGAATGTCAAAGTACTCAAAATGAGACTATTCGTACTTGGGTAGCAAAGTACTCGTACTCGACATGTCAAAATTATACTCGATCATCAAAGTACTCGTACTCGAATAGCAGTACTCAAAAGAAAATAGTATAGCTTGACTTACCATGGCCTTATTTTATGGATACTTTTAGTTTGAAATGGTTGATTGTTTGCAGAGAAATCAACGTTTCCTGATTTTCTTCTGTGCATGGCCAGACAAACGCATTTAACAGCTAGCCGTGAGTTGGTCTGTGTATCGGTCTGACTGGGCCTGGGCCAATAATGCACAATGAACCATTTGCCGTATGGCTGTATTCAAAAATAGAAGTACTCGTACTCGTATTCAGAAGTACAAGTACTCGGAGACCTGTCTTTGTACTTGGAAGTACAAGCACTCGTACTCATACTCGGTAACCTAAGTACTCAGCGGTACTCGGTATTTGAAAAAAAATTACTCTACTACAACACTGGGAAACATGTATTTTATTCCTGTTGGTAATCTGTACCCCCCCCCCTTTTATTCCATCATGAACAACATCAACTAGAAAACAACAAAACAACAGTACATTTTAGCTCAGAGTACATGTTTGTCAAGTTTTAAAGATGGGACAAAGTACTACATAGTTTCAATTTTCATTTGTGTCTGTAGGACTTACACATTTGCTGATGGAAACACAAAGACTGGAAACTTTTTAATAAAAGTAATATTCTGAGGGGCAAAGTTACATGCTTTATTTTCTTAAAAATTGAACTATTTTTTTGGCTTTATGTTAGTGATCATGGATGTTCCATGTGCAATTTCATTTACATGTTGACATTTCCAAGTGGTATTCCAAAATGTCAACATGTTTGTTTGATTGGGTAAAATACAATATTTTCCCCACCCAAAAAGGGGATGAATTCCCCCCCCCCCCTACATTACTTTGCCCCTGCCCCACACCCATTTTGTGCCCAACTGGGTACCAGTCGGGGGTTCAAGGGGGGTTGGAATCTGCCTTGATGAGCAGCAGGGGGTGACCAATTTCCTTGATATTGTCCAGGAGTTGTTAAATGTGTCCCCTCAAAGGGGAAATGGGGCTAATTTGGGATTTTTATCGTGGGAGGGGGTGTTTTTTTGTTCCACCCGCAACTGCTGAAAAATGCTTCAAGATGGGTACTGCTTCAGCATTCGGGATTTGACCTCATGGCCCACAGTTCAATGGGTGTGTTTGCGAAACACGTGTTGGCACTGCCCATGATAACATTAGTTTTTAGCGACAGCAAGACTCGACGATTATGCCAAGCTACTCAGTTAGTCCTTTGTAGACAGATGATGGTTTGCTGGATATATTTTGCATGCCGTTGTCTAACGCTGTCACTTATATGTTGAAGAAAACACATGCATGTGAAGCTGGTTCATGTACTGGAGCTTTGATGTACGTAGAGTAATTGTCTGCATGTTGGTGAGTATTTGGAAGGTTAAGGAGAACAGATTGGATAAAATTGGAGTTTGGTAAACCAGACCTTGTTCATGTTCATGTCAAGATCGACGATTTTTACATTTGGATGAACATAGCATATGGGCTCCGTGCACAAGTACATGTACCCCCTCAACGGTAAGGAAGGGAGAGTTGGGGGAGACCACTTGGATTGACATTCGAACGCGTTGCTGATGACGCCTGATGCTCACTCGAAAATGCTATGGCTTTGTCCACATTCAGAATACAATTAGTCGTGCGTACTTTGTGCCATATGGGTTTGAACCAGTTTGTGCACGCAGTGTGTCCCATCCACGGAGCTCTGGAATGTGGTAAATAAGCGCCCTCTCCTTTTCGCGCACGGAGCCCATACAGGTACACAAGTTTGCGGACGCACAGGGTGATGATAACTAAAAGTGCTAACTTCAATTTATCGTCAAACTAGGAGTTTGAAATTGACCTTTATCATGCTGCCACCATTTCAGTCATGTTCCCTCTATCCACTAACAGTACTGAATGATAATGTTTTTGTGCAAAAAAGGAACCAGACTATTTCTCCTTCCAGCTTCGCTTTGGGACCGTTGATTTGAATGGGAAAAAAATCACGATGGCCGCAACATGATAATGGTCTATAGCGTTCGCACATTCAGGCGGAGGATAAAAAGACTGTATAACATCATGCAGTCATTAGGTTTTAGAAATTTTGAACAAGAACTTTTCTCAATTTGTTTTGTTGGTACCCTCTGTGAGTTCGCATACATATGTAGGCATGCAACTTCTGGATCAGAAGTTTTCCTCATTCGTCAATTTTCTGACGCCATCACAATTGAAAAAAAAATTTAAAGTCTTGAAAAGCTTGGAATTTTCTCTTGTTGTTGTAATTTCCCAGTTGCATGCCTGCATATGGCAGATTGTTTATCCCAAATTGAAAATGGTCAAATCTTGATGTGTGTACGCATACTTGGAATACTGAACTGGCCTGCCATTTTGGAAACAATTTTTATTGAGCTGCTGGATTGTAAATATGGCTTAGCAGAGCCCAATTTCATTGCACTGCTTAACAGTAAGCAGAAAAGTTGTGCTTACTACAGCAGAAAATCATGCTGCTGCAGCAGAAAATCATGCTGCTGCTTAAGCACTATTTCATGCTAACGGTTGTGCACACATGGAGATTTCTATTGTTACGTCACTGATTTAAGCAAAGTTTTCGTCTGGGGTTAAGCGTTCTTTTGCTGTGCTTACTGCTTAACGGTCCCTATGAAATAGATGGAGGCTCGGTAAGCACAAAGTAGGCTGTTAAGCAGCGCTATGAAATTGGGCCCAGATTGTTAGTGCTCAACAGAAATCTGCTGGGAACCAATCAAACATGATACACTTCTTATTCAGCCAATTCAGCTGGTAACCTGTTTTGCTCAGCAGAGATTAAGGGTGCTTAGCTGGTTCCTGCAACACGCTTTGCAGGTCTGGGAAATTTTGCCCCCACATTGATATGGTACATAGCTGGGCTCTATTACTGGTAATACTCTTTTTTTTTCTCTGTCGTTCTAGCTACGATCTAGACGCGGAAGAGTGGCAAGTGATCAAGGTCTCGCCAGACAGTCAGGTACACAGTTCATTTCCTGAGTGATTGGAATAAAGAGACAGAATTTGGAGGTCAAGTTGGGGAGGGGGCGCACTCATTAACCCTAGTGGGAACACAGGCTTAACTACGATTTGTCTCACTAGGATATGACGTCTGAAAGCCTAGTTATACATACACGACTTTGTCGCGCGGCATTGTGGTATGTTTTCATAAATACGCACACACAAAAATCAACGAACGTGTTTAATTTACGCAACAAATTTGAAGTGATTTTATCGTGAACCACAAATGTCGCATGAGTGTATCCCCTGGAACCCATGCTTGAACTGACTGTTTGTCATTAAAGATAGATAAAAAAAATCTGTCGCATATTTGTGGACAAGCGCATATTTGCGACATTGCCGCTCAACAAAGTTCAATTATCTTCTTTTTTTTTCTCTAGAGTCCATCAGGCAGACTGTTCCATGCTGCTGCAGTGATAGGGGACGCCATGTTCATCTTTGGAGGGACCGTGGACAATAACGTTAGAAGCTCGGAGATGTACAGATTTCAGGTATTATTAAAACAGAGTGTTATTTACAAGCTTTGTTAACAAAATTCACAAAATGTTTTTATATATTTTTGCTGTCCATATTCAAAAACAATTGTTCAAAAATAATGGAATGTTCCGTGTTAATTAGTTAAAGTTTGGTGGGTACGTACCCAACCATTACAGCAACTTGTTCCTGGTTGCAAAATTACCCATGAGAGTACGCTCCTATTTGAAGAGGAACCAAAGCTCAGTGTAAAGAAATAGTGGCTTGTGGAATAAAAGTGGCTCTACCTTCCTAAATCCTTGGAAAGTTACGATAAAGTTAAAGGGAATGTACAACATTTGCTTGTGCTGCAATTTTCAGAAATAAATGGATTTGGAGGATTAGTATGTTATAGCAAATATTGTTAAAATGACTTGTTTCACGTTTTGGGCTTGTAGATGCTGGAAAAACCAAGAAAACCATTCATGTTCTTGTAGTCTGGTTCCCTGACCCCACTTAAGATGAAACGGAGAATTTATAGACTTTGGGGAATTGTAAGGTCAGAGAATCAGTCTAGCAGGTTTGTCCCCCTTCACAGTTGTGTAATCAATTGCAAAGAAAACGCTGAATAACTGATTATGAAAAATTAGGAGCAATTTTTTTAAAAAAGCCAGATTTCTCCAACGCTGGTGGAAAATACCATTTTTCTTCAAAATGTCAGCACACCAGGAGCCAGGATTTTACAGGATGCTTTAGACTGTCATTCCCTAACAATCCAGTAAGGTATTTTGTGATAATTTGATCATTTCGTTTTGTGATGTTTGCAAATGTTGTATCTTCCCTTTAAGGCTGAATTTTCGTCACATGATTTTTATTCCCTTGCCTGTGTTTAAATCCCGAGTCAGTTTTGTGGCAAGAAACAGCGGATCGAGAAGCAAATATTTTTAGGGGAACAAAGTCACAACACGGCTTGCTAGCTATTGCAAGTTTAAAATGGCGAGAGGAGTGTTTGACCTCGTTAAACATTAGGGAACCCTCTTCCCTTTCGTTTTTATTTTCTTTCAAGAACCCATGGAGAGAAATGGGATGACTACAGCATTGATATAAAAAGCCATCTTCAACTATAGAGTTATATTAAATTACTAGAGCGCTAACTCCTCTTCCCCTGTGGAGATACCGGTACGTTGAAGCCATCCTGGGCGCAGACATTTTGATTTCATGTGCATGTTTGTAGAACATAATGAAATCAGATGGAATGAATTTCGAATAATGCACTCTAAATGCAACGCGCAAGTTACAACATACGTGAACAAGTTAAGCCCGTTTTCTTCAAGTATGATGGCGGAATTCATCTGGCGTTTGCGTTATTTTCACAGAACAAAATGAAACACTAATTTTACTGGTTGTGCGTTTCGGTTTTGGGCTTATCAGCTTCGATAACACACCTGTATAGCAGGGGACAATTCTGGTATAGAATACAAATGCAGATATGCAAAAAGCCTTACTAAAGCCATACTAAATTAAGAGTTTTCCATAGGTTTGTGCACAAACATGGATGCGCCCAGCAGGCTACACTTTGTACAGCAAGTTAGCACTCTAGTCATTTAATGTAGCTGTATGTCTTCAACCCTTCTCTTGCTAAATAATTATTAAAATAATTGCATAGTAAGTTTTTGATCATAGACTCCCACCACACTACACTTGAAGAGGGCATGACCCCCTACTTTCCCCTCTACTTTCCCCTCTTCTTTCCTCTCTCCCCGCCCCTCCCCTTCCCCAAGAACCAAGAACTATCCTCGTCCTACTATCTCAAGTTGGTTTAATCAGTTCCTCCATACAAAAAAAACATTCAGGAAATAGGTGTATTTTAAGTGATGCCAAAAATACAGACAGAAAACAACCGCCCCTTCAAAACTGTCGCTGTGGAGGAAGCAGCACATTTCCTTCCTCTAACCGCCAAATCTTCTTTCCTGTTGTTGGCCCCCCGGCGCTAGCTCCCTCGCGGTGTCATCTGTCTTACTGGCTGATGATGTCACTGCACGGGGTACCGGCTATTTTTGAGCGGTGTCCCCACTGAATACGCCGCTGTCTTTTAGATTGTGGTCTTCATTTGGTGCAAGAAACTGATGCTGAATTTAGCCAGTGAAACAAAATAAATCAAGGTTCCGAGGCCAATTTCGAGGAGCTGTTCAGCTCACATGTTTGCTGAGCACAGAAGTTCTTTGCTTAACCCTCCTGCTATTTAAGCAGTCACGAATAGTCAAAATTCACTTCTACTTCCCCTGCTTATACTTTTAACAAAGGCTAGTCACCAGCAGTCAGATCATATGTCAAGCAAGCACTGTGATTAGTCAAACTGGGTCAACAGACAAAGCATGCAAGTTGTGGTCACAGCTGTTTTATCACTCCCCCGGAGTCAAAGCATAGCTGTACCAAGTAAAGCGGTCCAAGGCAGTCAATCCTGCTTTATGTGGGCTGGGAACTCTTAGGGGTTGTGAACAGTCACTTGACAGATTTGGACTTTGAGGACAACTTGGCACAGAGTGTATGTTTGCATAGGAGCGTTAAAGGGCACATGCAATGTCATTTTTTTAATGCAATCCTTGATAAAGCACCTTTGTGTCCCATTTAACCTCATTTTCAGTTTTCGTCAAGGGTATTTTGGTGACTTTTTGGTTTTTATGCTAATGCAAATTTCCATATTCATGAGCAAAAGTGTGATGTCGTTTCAGGAAAAAACCCTCAACATTACACCTATTTCGGCACGAGAAGTTGCCGGAGTTTTGGATATTTTGCTGTCTTGAATGTTCTTTTCTGAGGTGATTTGTTTTAATGTGCACCTTTAAATCTCTTTCGTTAATCGTTCCGACTTGAAGAGAACCACCTGTTCGGACAGCCAATGTTTCCTGTTCCTGCCCCCTGATGCCACCTGTGCTCAGTCAAGCCAGTCGTATCGGCTGGCGCTTTGCCTGCCGGGCACCATCTTGTTTTAATTTCGTCCAATCAACTTTGCGCACTCATGGCCGGCGAAACGTGACTCAACACTTCCAACCACGCATCTACCGCAATGATCTTGCAACACTGAGATCGGAGAAGGAAAAAAAAAAAAAAAAAGAACACGCCTACTTTTAACAGCTTGATTTAACAGCCTACTTTTATAGCTTAATTTGCCTCACTGACGTTCTCTCTAAATCTGGAACAGATTTATGATAACGGTTTCAGATCATCGGACGGCCAAGATGACTTGTCTATGAGCAGCCGCAGTCACCATACAAGTTTGGGGCTAATTTTCATGGCTCGGTTGAAAATAAGCACATATTCTTTGCTAAGAACAGCAGTAAACTCTGCAGTAACAGTTCACATATTTAAGTTGTTACCAAGGCTATTTCTCAAACTTCGGCGTTCACTCCAGCTCCGGCTGCAGGAGATTCCAGCTCAACCTGGGTATTTTTTCAAATTGCCTATAAACGCACGTTCCAGTGCCAGCAACGAAGCCAGAGTTGAAAACAAAGTCGAGCTTTGGGAAATGGCCTTAGTAACATACCACATATGTGACTATGGGGATTCTGTGCTAACGCTTACTGGGTTAGCAGTAATTTTGCCTACGTCCTAAGCATAGAATGGCGATTGTGAGCACAGAATTCTGCATTTAGCAGATTCTCGAAATGTGGCCCCCAGCTTCCAGCAACTGCACAACTCATTGTTGTTGGTTTTTATCTCCTCAGTTTGCGTCTTACCCACGATGCACCTTGAAGGATGACTTCGGAAGACTTCTTCTCAGTCAGCAGTTTACTGATGTGGAGTTTCTTGTAGGCGAGGTGAGTTTTCTGTTCTTGCTTTGTATTTTACACAATATCCAAAAACAGGACCATTGTTCAAGATTTAATCAAAGTTGTGATTTAGGCAGCACTGAAGTTTTGTGCTTTCTAAAGATGAATACTTTGCGTAAATGACTTTTTTAACAATCAGAAAGTGTTCTGTGCAGAACTAATTGGCATTGAACAGCACAGCTCTATTCTGTTTCAAATGATGCACAAATTCTCTCAACTTTTTTTTGATAAAATGTGCAGTTGTACTGCTTTAAAATGTGGAAGTCCAATATGTAGTAAAAGGTTGCATTAAAGGTTTATTTTAAAAAAAATCTTGTTAAAAAAAACTTGTTACAAAAAAACCTCACTAAAATAGCGCAGCTGTGTTCTGTTTCAAATGATACCAAAATGTACTTGAACAGTTTTATTATAGCCACAAACAGAGGCTAGTGGTTTAAGATTTTGGGTTATTCAATTAAACAATTTCTGCCAAAAATGTTTTGATACATTGTGCAAAATGTGTCAGGCTATTTGTTTTGATTCAGTATTTAATAAGCCCAACCTGTTGTTAGCAGATTGCGCTTCATTAAGATTCATTTATACTTGCCCCATTTGCAGAAAGGCACCGTTGTTCCAGGTCATACAGCAATCATTATACCCCGATGCCGCTACCTCAGACACAAGATATCACAGGCTAAGGAGCGACATTTAGCAGAACAGGTGAGTGGGCCAGCAGCCAGTTCACGGAGCTGCTAAGCAGACCTTATTACTTAGCAAATTTCTGTTTTGAGAAAATAATGGCTGAGAATCTGTCAAAAGCAGCATACGTGACATAGCATTTTGGCTGGTAATTTTGAGACCGAGTAAACAATAGTTTCTCGACCGGGCATTTGTTTCCAAGTGAAGATAAGGATGGTACCGAATACCCTGGGAAATTATTTTACTGAAAATGGTTTCGTTTAGGAGAAAACAGCAATTGAAGGCAGTTAAAAATATGTATAATATATTTTTATGTGCTGTAGCAACAAAATCTTGTTCCAAGTGTGCAGTGTTTTCCCTTTTTTCTCATAGTATAGTTGCCACTGCTAAAGATTTTGACCAATTTTGTTGCTTTAACAGAAAAAGCACATAAAAACGAATGATCCTTCACCCCTTTAATTTCAAATTTTTTCGTAGGGTGACTCCCAACCTGAGCCAGAGAGTTCTTGTCCTGCCATGGACAGAGACGAGGCGATCCGAGAGGGCAAAAACCTCAAGAAGCCGTACCAGGTGACCATCAAGAACACTCGACCAGAAGCCTTCCAGCTCCTGCTGTGGTTTCTGTACACCGATAAGGCCGATCACAGGCCTCAGGATATACAGAGTGAGTGGGTTCACAGTCTCACTATTAAGCCATGTTTGTAGACCCTTGGTTCTTGGCTGGTTCTTCTCCTTAATACTCCGCGTAAGAGTTTAAAGGAGGCCAGAAACCCTGGGGCGAACCCCTTCTCTGGGCGATAAGTGTCACTGGGTTCTTTTACGTGCATTGCATTACACAACAAACGGGACCTACGGCTTTACGCCCCATCTGGAGGACAAAACAATAATGGTTAAGTGCCTTGCTAAAGGGCACAAGTATCCAGACCCGGGCTAGAGCCCACGCCACTGTTGCCTCTAAAACACCAGAGCATGAGTCCGGTGCTCTTAACGGCTAGGCCATGACACTCCATGACCAAACTCACAAGGGAAGTATCTTTACTGTTTCCTTTCCCCAAAATGATCGGCCGACCAGCGCTGGAAATTGGTACAAAAATACCACTTTTCTTGAAAATGACAGCACACCAGATGCCATGATTTTACAGGAAACCTCATTCACTAACAGTCCATTAAGGTATTTCATAGTAATTTGCTAGTTTTGTTGTTTTGATGTTTGCAAATGTTGTGTATTCCCTTTACAACAGATTCTACAGATAAAACCACAGAGTTTCTGCTTCTTCTCATGGATGTGTACAAACTAGCATTGGAGGTAATGTTGCTTCACCCAAGATTGATTCCTGCAATCTTTTAAGGGAAAAAAATCAGTTATATGATGGGAGGGTTCATCATGGTGATATCTGTCAGTTGAAGTTTTTGATGATTCCACGTGAATGCTGTCTCTGTTTATACTTTACACAAAAGCAAATGCTATGCCAACTTCAATTCACAAATTGTTTGGCTCCTGTGAAAGATTCTACAAGGTTTGGTAGGTCATGGCCTGAATCATTTCCAAAACATTTGTGGCAAAATTTGTCAGAATTGAAATGTGTTAAACTAGTGCAAATTTGCAGTATCGTCTCTGGCAATGCAAAGTGACTGGCCAGTGGTCTCTGAGTACAAGCAAGTAAAGTAACACATAGTTACGCATAATTTTGATTCTCACAAACTGACACTCAAGTCTAGAGTCGTAATTTTTGTTTTTACGAATCAAACCTCTTAATCATTGAATCTTAATAATCATGTCAAACCTCTCAGAGTATTTTTCATCGCCCACCACAGTGCTTGGGCTTCAGTTCATGAAAACAAAAATGATGATATGCGCTGCCTCACGAAGTGCACACTGCCTCACCGTGTGTGTGTTAGTTTTTGAAAACAATGACGGTATGAATATTGCTTTGACATGCAAAATTGCTATTTCTTTTTCACTTTCGTAGTGTATTTATCATAATTTTTTATGACTGTGACATTCTCAGTGAAGTGGTCACTAGGACGGTACCTTGCTGAGTTTGAATGTAGTAACTATCATCATCTGTTATTTTTCTTCGGTCTATATTTGCATAGTTTTCAATCAGCCGCTTGGAGCACATGTGTATTCACTATCTGTGGGTGTCCATAACCAACTCCAATGTTCTGCAAGTGCTGCAGGGGGCAAGCAAGCTCAAACTGGACTTGATCAAGGTAAGAAAAAAAAATATATTTTTTTGGTCCCATTATTATCCAGCATGTTTACAATGTCCATACTCATCAAACTGATCCGATACATTAAAAATGAATTAATGGAATTGGGTATGGAATAGAAATTTAGAATTTTTAGAAAAAAATCCTTTAGGGTGCGCACACCAAAAAAAAAAGTGGAAAAATGAGCTCAAACAATTTCTGTAAAGTTTTCAATTACAAGTATAATGTCCACTAGCTTGGGAAGTTTATTCAAATTGACTGAAAACTTTGTTCATCCGTTTTAGGACACACATAATGAAGTGGGAAACAGTTTAATGATTTATAAATTTATGGTTGAAATGGAAAATTCCACATTTGTGGAAAATTAGTGACCCCTAAAATCTTGAAATTGTGTGTGGGCTAACAAGCAGGGGCAATTGTGGGCTTTTTTTTGGTTGGGGGGTGCTTGTGGTTAGCCTATACATGTAATTGAAGAGTTTGTTTCCGGACAATTGTGGGAGGTTTTTTTTTGGGGGGGGGGGTAGCTTGTGGTTGGCCTATACATGTAATTGAAGAGTTTGTTTCCATTCGTTTTCGGACACACACGATGAAGCGGAAAACTGTTTGATGATATCTTAATCTATGGTTTCGTGAAATTGTTTTTCTTTCTCACTGACAGGAATTCTGCATGAACTTCGTAGTGAAGGAGAGCAACTACAGCGCCATTGTCATGAGCAAGGAGTTTGAAGGACTCAGCCAGCCCCTCATGGTAGAAGTAGTCAGGAGACGCCAGCTAGCATCAGGCAGACCCTACCAACATGAAAAGATGCCAGACTTCAACAAATCATGTGAGTCCTAGCCCCACGTCTGATTTACCTGGTTATGGCTTACAATTACACACGCTTCTATGGAAGCCGCTGCAGCCACGTCCCGTAGACCCGTGTGTGATATCCAGCCATGGCTAAGTAATTCAGACCTGGCCTTAGGGGAAATAGCTTGGGGCAAGTTCGCGCCAGAACTATTGTTGACCAATGGTTAACCGTACTTGGTACTTGGTTGGTTCTTCTCCTAAGGACTTCCACAGGGGAGTATAACGAGGAGGCCAGAAACACCGGGGCAAACCCCTTCTCTTAGCGATAAGTGTTACTGGGTTCTTTACGTGCGTTAGGCCTTATACAACACACGGGACCTCCGGCTTAACGTCCCATCCGAAGGACGAAGCAATAATGGTTAATTGCCTTGCTTAAGGGCACAAGTGTCGTGGCCCGGGCTTGAACCCATGCCACTGTTGCCTCTGAAACACCTGAGCATGAGTCCGGTGTTCTTAACTGCTAGGCCATGACACTCCACCGTAGTTCGACTAAAGTTACCCTGAACTCTGTCTAGTTGACGATGGTTGACTATGCTAGTCGACTATTTGGAACCAGCCTACCGCGGCTGGTCGTGCAATGATTTTAGCTGGTTATTAATAGCAATTTCCGTAGCATAGTGTAGAGGGGACCCACTATCAACAAAACATGCTGAAAACGAAACGGTGAGCGCTAAATTTCATTTTCATTGCACAGTTTTCCATGTTAGTTTACGGTTATGTCACTTTTGTCACCATTGTACAATAATATTGGCGATTATGTAAGATGTCCTAAACTATACACAATCACTATTATTTGTGTAAATAAAGAGAAACGTCCAGTGTTGAATAATTGTTTGACCGCCATTTTTTGACGGCCATTGACATGACAATAATCGACTAAAGTCGTTTGCACTTCAATTTCAGTGCGCATGCACTAGGCACGTCACGAACCAACCACCTGTTAATCACTGATACTTGCTCTTTGGACTTTGAGTTGTGTTATTATTGGAAACGAACAAAATGTATGAAAAGCCAATGAGCGTATGTGCCTTTATTCCATCACCAGATGAATGTCTAGAGCAGGACATGGAGGGTTTCCTGAAGAGCAAGCTGGGCCAGGAGTACGCTGACATCACGCTGATGCTGGACGGTACGGCCATCCCGGCCCATAAGGCAGTCCTGGCCGCAAGGAGCAGCTTCTTTGAGGCCATGTTCCGCTCCTTCATGCCAGAGGATGACTCTGTCAATGTGAGTTGATGCTGCTAAACTTCCCGGCTCTTTTAGGGGAGCGGAGCTTCCATATCAACTCATGAACTGTTTGTCATTTGGGGATAGGTTGTTTGTGAAGCGCATACACGTGAATCTACTTGATTCTAACACCCATTCATCATGAGACAAAATGAATGATTAACCCTAACTCCCCAGCCTAATTTACTAGGAACCATACCCATTCTGGCAAATTCCAACACCCACATGGGAAATTGTACACACACACTGTTGGACTAAGTTTCTGGAGGTATGCCAAACCCAATGTAAAAGACTGTCAGTTTTAGGGTACTGTACCTATCCCAACAGATTTCAACAAAACCTGTTGTTGGGCTTTGATCGGTTGAGTTCAGTTAGTATGAACATCACTTTCAAGTCAGTTCATTCAATTTGTTTCTGATTAAACACGCACATGTTCACACAGTCGTGTTTTACTATACTCTCGAGGACAATGCTTTGTCTTTTCCTTTGTCCCTGTAATATAACACTCTCCCATAGACTAAGCACACACACGCACGACCGAGGACCGATTTCAACAAAAGATGAACTCTCGAGGACAACAAAGAATCTGTTGTTCTCTCTTTGTCTGTCTGTCCTCGGGGGGTATATAGTTCACGTACATTACAACAAACTTAGGATGTGAATAAATAGAAGATGAAAAAGCATGATTAATGACTAGTGGTAATAATAAGCATGAATTCGCTATTAAATAGCCATAAAATTAATGAAGTTTTCCAAATTTGTCAAACGTGACATGAAAAAGAATTCTTCAGATAAACCTTTGCTTTTGGTCATATAACTCCACCGTCTGTTTATTTACTTTGAGATTCTTGTTGTGTACCCTGTAGAAAGGATTCCGTCCCAGTTGTAGGATGGAAACAAAAAAATTACCTTCTTCTGTCTACTTCTTTTTAAAATAAAGTTTAAATAAACATGTTTTTATTTCTATTTCTAGGTTAGCATTGGTGAAATGATCCCATCCAGACAAGCCTTTGAGTCTCTCCTTCAGTACATCTACTATGGAGCTGTCACAATGCCACCAGAAGATTCACTGTATCCTTAACATACCTGTCTTTAATCCACAATAAAACCCTTCCAAATTTGCCAACACTTTCAAGGACGTGCTATAGAAGAAAATACTCAATAGCAATCAAAACATGCTACATTATCACATATACCACTGTCCATACAGCACTCCGCGTATTGCGCTATTGCATGATGCGGGCGTCATTCCTATTGCACGCACGTGTAATACTACAGGATAACCACTGAAAAATTTGTGTGCAGCTTTTCTGCTCCAACTTAACTGTGCGTCAAGTTATTTGAAGAGAAATTTGTTAAACCACTCAGTCTTCGGCCTCCTGGCATGTGGGACACAGATGCACTACATTATTCCATGTTCCATAAATAAATGAGGGAAGTATATGAGAACAGGCAAGGCCCTCCCGGATTCTTAAATTTCATTAATTGATGTGTATTGTGACTATTCTTCCATTCCTGTAGCTTTTTGGCGAAGCTTTCAAAGCAAAATGCAGTACCTATGCGTCCACTTGCAAATATTTGAATTAAAGTTCACCCCACTTCAGACACCATGAGGACACACTGGTCATTCTCTGACCCTATATCTGAATGATTTAGGCAGTGTTGTTGTTCCTTAACATATGTCCCTCCAGGTACCTCTTCTCGGCACCAGACTACTACAGTTTCTACAACAACCGCCTGCAGGCGTTCTGCAAGGAGAACCTGGAGATCAACATCTCGGTCCAGAATGTAGTCCAGATACTAGACGCGGCCGACCGAGTCGGGGCCAAAGATATGAAGGATCATGCACTGAAGATTATCGTCAAAAACTTCACCAAGGTATGGAGGAAGTCAATCACATGTCAATCACAAGTCAATCATAATCTATCAAGTGCCAATCACATGTCAATCACATGTCAATCACAAGTCAATCACAAAAAACTTCACCAAGGTATAGAGAAAGTCAATCACATATCAATCACAAGTCAATCACAATCTATCAAGTGCCAATCACATGTCAATCACAAGTCAATCACATGTCAATCACATGTCAATCACAAAAAACTTTACCACGGTAAAGAGAAAGTCGATCAGGAGTCAATCACAAGTCAATCAGAAGTCAATCACATGTCAATCACAAGTCATTCACAAAAAACTTTACCAAGGTATAGAGACAGTCAATCACAAGTCAAACACAAGTCAATCGCAAGTCAATCATAAGTCAATCACAAGTCAAACACAAGTCAATCACAGTCCATCAGTTGTCGATCACTTGTCAATCACAAATTGATCATAAGTCAATCACAAGTTGATCACAAGGTGACCACAAGTCAAATGCATTCATTTGCATGTCAGTCACAAGACAAACCCATTTCAATCACTGGTCAATCACAACCCAGTCACAGATTAGTCACAAGACTTATGATTGACTCTGTTTCAATCACGCAAAAGGAATTAAAACATCTTAAATTCTCTTCATGGGAAAAACAAGACAAACATCTTCTTTTTTTTTGCGCGACTTGTAAAAACTATGGTCAAAAAATAATTGTGGAATTATGGCAGTAACTATGCAGTAATTTTTGTCTGAACACACTTTTCAGAAATAGTCATTTTTATCATAAATCTGGAGGTTTTTATACACTTTTATTACCGGAAATAGAATTTTTTTAGGTACAATATACAACCAAACCCAACAATGTTAGCTGGAAATTGCCAGAGCTTTTTTTTTTTCGTGAAAAATTACAAGCAACAAAACTCCATAAGTAATTCTACATCTTCTTGAACATTACCCTCACTGAAATTTCAAATGTTACCATTAATCCAGGTGGCAGAAAATCCCAAAATGAAGAGCCTAAGCCATGGTCTACTCTTGGAGATCATCATGGCTTTGGCAGCACGGCTACAGAAGGTCAACCTCAAGCAACAAGCGATAGAAGAACCCTCCCACGCAGCATGGGCATGCACTTCCGATAAGTACGGACCTGATAACTGGTAGACGGTAGACCGGGTACCAGTTAAGTTAACCTCCTGTATTTAGCAGTGTACGAGCCATTCCACGCAGCACAGGCATGCATGTTGGATGAATAACTGGTATACTGTAGACTTGGGTACCAGTGACGTCAGCTTCAAATGGAAAGGGTTTAAAGGACCATCCCACACAACATGGACTTCAGATACGTGGTCTTGATAGCTGGTAGACAGTAGACCAGGGCACCAGTTAAGTCTACTTTAATGGGCAACAAACAAAATGGGCATTTTAACGTCAGATAAATACAGACCTGATAACTGGTTAGTCTGAGTATCAGCCGTTGTCCAGCGGAACCCTCTCTCTGTATCCAACGTCTGATATATCTAAGCATGCACATTTATGCGATCCTGCCTGTCAGCCACTTGGACTTTTGAAGCTGTGACGTCATTTCAATCAGAAATGTGGACTAAGCTGTTGATTGGTCAATTTGGCTGCCAAGGTTTTGTAATCCAACGGATTACGGCAGACCCGATAGAAGGCGCCCGCTGAATGGTCAGAATCTGGAGGTCAAGACGCGGTGTTGTTTTGCATAATTAATCGCCGAATCTGCGCAAATGTCATAGATGCTTGTCTGCAAGTGGATATTCCATAGACTAATAACTGGTAGACTGTTCAAAAGTTTACCTGTGAAGTCAGCTTTGAATTGCAAGCAACTGAAGAACCTTGTCAGGCAACATGGGCTCGTACAGACATGCAATCAGACAACACAACTGAGGCCATTCAGCAGCAATTTGTACAAAATGTTTTTCTTAATAACATCAGGTTACCACTGAGAATGACGTGATGTGACATAACTTTGCCAATATATGTTTTCACATTCTGCTAGTTGGTCCTTGAAATTGACTTGTGCATGGTAGTCAGTACACCAGTGACTTCTGCAGTCATGCCATGAGCCAATTGTAACCGTATTTCTGTGATGGAGAATGGAGATCTGTAATCATAATTTGTAAAATTAATGTGTATATTAACAACATATGAATCTTGTATAAGACACTGATGTATGGCAAATATGAACGTAAGTCACACTAGTTTTGTGTTCACGTATATTTGGACATTTGCATGTACATGTGTAGTAATGTTAACGTTTCGGCCCTTCTCAAAAGAAACTTTACAATCTGCGTTGTCCTTTTCTTTTCCAAGTGCTCTTTTCAAAGTGATACAAGGTTGAACAGAGTTGGATTGGAACCTGCAATCTCCAGAATAATGTCCAGTGCTCTACCAAGGGACCTTACGACAAACCGCCAGATCAGTTGATAGCGTGGTCAAAGGTTCAAAATTTGGCTCAAGTTGGTTCATTTTGTCAATCTAATATTGTGAAGTTAGTTCATTTTGTTATTCTAATATTGTGGAGTGCCCTGGCCTAGTGGTCTGGAGCATTGAACTCATGCTCTGCGGGTAATTCTGCAGGTTGTGGGTTTGAGTCCAGCCTGGGGTTATGGTGCATGTGCCCTTGGGCAAGGCACTTTGTCACTCATTGCCTTTTGCGACCCAGGAGTAAATGGGTACCTGTGAGGGCAGAGATGGTTATTGTGATTGATTTTAGCTGCTTTGCGCTGAAATGGCACCATCAGGGTTGTATACTCCCCAGGGAGCTGAGATGGTATTTGGAATGTTTCATTGGCCCAATGATCAGGGGTAATAATAATTATTATTAATAATATTGACCAAAAAGTTAAACTATTTAGTTTGCCTTTGAACAAAGCATACTTTACTTAAACCGTTGTAAATGCGCAAAGTGTTTGCCTTTTATTTATCCTGAAATAATAAATGTGAAAATTCATGTCTTGCCAGTTATATAATTTTGTTTTTATTTACAATTCAATTTAACCACCCTGTATTATAACACCACTTATTTTCATAATGTATGAAGTACTCCACGAGCTTGTGGATTTGTCAAAATGTAAATGGTATTTTTATACTTAAAACTTATTCAACTTTAGGAATAGTGAAGTTTATAAACGCAGCTTTTAAAAACCCTAGGAAATTATGAAAAAGGCCAATTTTATGACAGAGGCCCTTGGAAAATTCCTGTGTCATGTGCTGATTATTCCAAAATTTAAGCATCATGTGAATAAAGCATTTGAAAAATCTAATTATGTGTGTTGGTTGATGTTGTTTAATTAGTCATTCATTGATTAATTGGTATTTTATTTGACTCATGTAATTGGTCAGCTTAGTAGGGAGACTGAAGTATTGCTTGTGGTGCCCTTGATGACATATTTGACATAATGTACGTCAATGATTGGACAATAAAAGTGAAGTTTGACAATCACAATAACAAGTGTCGATGACAAATGAAACTGACCATGATAGCTATTGTGAATTGTCACTTCTAAAAGGAACTTGCAATTCAAGGAAATGTCCGCTATTTGTACTGCTTTTTTTTTTTTATTAATCGGATCTTTTCAATTGATTTTGGAATTTGGAAGGGTTTTTATATTTTCGTTTCCTTTAGTATCAGTAGGCATGGTGGAAATATTTGGGGGAAAATAACCATGTGACATTAATTTAAACTCGGTAATTAGACCGCGCCCCTCAATCACCCGCGGGGATGGATAATTATCGACGTACCACTATTTATGAAGCGCGCCCTCCATTAAATAATATTGGTGCTGATGCTGCACTATTGAACAAAAATAACAACTCAGTTTCCGATCAATAACTCAAGAAATACAAGATGTATTAAACTGAAATTTCGTGCAATTAGTTGCCACGATGTGTAACAGAGGGGTATCGAATATCATGAGAAACAGTCCTATAATAGAAATATTATGATCGTTACAATGAAGTGTTTTACACGCGAAAAATACACATTGAGTAAACTGAGTTGTTATTTTTGTTCAATAGTGCAGCATCCGCGCCAATATTCTTTCAATAGAGGGCGCGCCACACAAATAGTGGTCTCGATAATTATCAACCACCAAACTCGTTTGGGAGGCAACAACTTCAGAAATACAAAATGTTTTGAATTGAATTTTCGTCTTGTGATTTGTCATTATGTTAAACATTACAAGATTTAATTTCAAAAGAAACCGTCAAACAATGAAGCAATATTGACCGTAACAATGGAGTGTTTTAAGTGCGACAAATGCAATTCGAATGAAAATCAATGTGTATTTTTCGCGTGTAAAGCTCTTCATTGTTACGATCATATTATTTTTATTATAAAACGGTTTCTCATGATATTCAATACCCCTCTGTTATACATCGTGGAAAATAATTGCACCAAATTTTAGCTTAATACATCTTGTATTTCTTGAGTTATTGATCGGAAACTGAGTTGTTATTTTTGTTCGATAGTGCAGCATCCGCGCCAATATTCTTTCAATAGAGGGCGCGCCACACAAATAGTGGTCTCGATAATTATCAACCACCAAACTCGTTTGGGAGGCAACAACTTCAGAAATACAAAATGTTTTGAATTGAATTTTCGTCTTATGATTTGTCATTATGTTAAACATTACAAGATTTAATTTCAAAAGAAACCGTCAAACATTGAAGCAATATTGACCGTAACAATGGAGTGTTTTAAGTGCGACAAATGCAATTCGAATGAAAATCAATGTGTATTTTTCGCGTGTAAAGCTCTTCATTGTTACGATCATATTATTTTTATTATAAAACGGTTTCTCATGATATTCAATACCCCTCTGTTATACATCGTGGAAAATAATTGCACCAAATTTTAGCTTAATACATCTTGTATTTCTTGAGTTATTGATCGGAAACTGAGTTGTTATTTTTGTTCAATAGTGCAGCATCCGCGCCAATATTCTTTCAATAGAGGGCGCGCCACATAAATAGTGGTCTCGATAATTATCAACCACCAACTCGTTTGGGGGGGCAACAACTTCAGAAATACAAAATGTTTTGAATTGAATTTTCGTCTAGTGTTTTAACATAATGACAAATTCTTCTGTTTTGTTTGTCTATTTATCATGATCAATCATCTGGCAAGAATTCAATTGAGTCCGTCACTAAATTGTTTAGATATTTTGTAGACCAGGGCTATCGTTTCTGTGCAAAAGTAAGGCAAATGGTCTGTTTGGACTGCAACTACAGCCTATCGCCAAGTGTTTCTCGGGTTTTGCACAAGACAGTAATGAGGGAGAGAAAAACAATATTTTGTCTAAAACTTCTGTCTTGTTTGTCTATTTATCATGATCAATCATCTGGCAAGAATTTAATTTAGTGCGTCACTTAATTGTTTAGATATTTTGTAGACCATGGCTATCGTTTCTGTGCAAAAGTGAGGCAAATGGTCTGTTTGGACGGCAACTGCAGCCTATCGCCAAATGTTTCTCCGGTTTTGCACAAGACACTGTCGAGGGCGAGAAAAACAATATTTTGTCAAAATCCTCTGTCTTGTTTGTCTATTCATCATGATCAATCATCTGGCAAGAATTCAATTCAGTGCGTCACTTAATTGTTTAGATATTTTGTCGTCCAGGGTTATCGTTTCTGTGCAAAAGTGAGGCAAAAGTTCTGTTTGGACTGCCACTGCAGCCTATCGCCAAGTGTTTCTCGGGTTTTGCACAAGACACTGTTGAGGGCGAGAAAAACAATATTTTGTCAAAATCCTCTGTCTTGTTTGTCTATTTGTCATGATCAATCATCTGGCAAGAATTCAATTCAGTGCGTCACTTAATTGTTTAGATATTTTGTCGTCCAGGGCTATCGTTTCTGTGCAAAAGTGAGGCAAATGGTCTGTTTTGACAGCAACTGCAGCCCATCGCCAAGTGTTTCTCGGGTTTTGCACAAGACACTGTTGAGGGCGAGAAAAACAATATTTTGTCAAAATCCTCTGTCTTGTTTGTCTATTTGTCATGATCAATCATCTGGCAAGAATTCAATTCCGTGCGTCACTTAATTGTTTAGATATTTTTTCGTCCAGGGCTATCGTTTCTGTGCAAAAGTGAGGCAAAAGTTCTGTTTGGACTGCCACTGCAGCCTATCGCCAAGTGTTTCTCCGGTTTTGCACAAGACACTGTTGAGGGAGAGAAAAACAATATTTTGTCTAAATCTTCTGTCTTCTTTGTCTATTTATCATGAATAATCATCTGGCAAGAATTCAATTCAGTGCGTCACTTTAATTGTGTAGATATTTTGTCGTTCAGGGCTATCGTTTCTGTGCAAAAGTGAGGCAAATGGTCTGTTTGGACTGCCACTGCAGCCTATCGCCAAGTGTTTCTCCGGTTTTGCACAAGACAGTGCTGAGGGAGAGAAAAACAATATTTTGTCTAAATCTTCTGTCTTCTTTGTCTATTTATCATGATCAATCATCTGGCAAGAATTCAATTCCGTGCGGCACTTAATTGTTTAGATATTTTGTCGACCAGGGCTATCGTTTCTGTGCAAAAGTGAGGCAAAAGTTCTGTTTGGACTGCCACTGCAGCCTATCGCCAAGTGTTTCTCCGGTTTTGCACAAGACAGTGTTGAGGGAGAGAAAAACAATATTTTGTCTAAAACTTCTGTCTTGTTTGTCTAGTTATCATGATCAATCATCTGGCAAGAATTCAATTCAGTGCGTCACTTAATTGTTTAGATATTTTGTCATCCATAGTTATCGTTTCTGTGCAAAAGTGAGGCAAAAGTTCTGTTTGGACTGCCACTGCAGCCTATCGCCAAGTGTTTCTCCGGTTTTGTACAAGACACTGTTGAGGGAGAGAAAAACAATATTTTGTCTAATTTTTCTGTCTTCTTTATCTATTTTTCATTACTAATGCTCCCGCCAGAATTCAATTCAATGCGTTACTTTATTTTGGAGATATTTTATCGACCAGGACCATCGTTTCTGTGCAAAAGTGAGGCAAATGGTCTGTTTGGACGGCAACTGCAGCCTATCGCCAAATGTTTCTCCTGTTTTGCACAAGACACTGTCGAGGGCGAGAAAAACAATATTTTGTCAAAATCCTCTGTCTTGTTTGTCTATTGATCATGACTAATCATCTGGCAAGAATTCAATTGAGTGCGTCACTTAATTGTTTAGATATTTTGTAGACCATGGCTATCGTTTCTGTGCAAAAGTGAGGCAAATGGTCTGTTTGAACTGCAACTAGAACTACAGCCTATCGCCAAGTGTTTCTCCGGTTTTGCACAAGACAGTGTTGAGGGAGAGAAAAACAATATTTTGTCTAAATCTTCTGTCTTGTTTGTCTATTCATCATGATCAATCATCTGGCAAGAATTCAATTCAGTGCGTCACTTAATTGTTTAGATATTTTGTCGACCAGGGCTATCGTTTCTGTGCAAAAGTGAGGCACATGTTCTGTTTGGACTGCCTCTGCAGCCTATCGCAAAAATCTCGTAATGTTAAATATAATGATAAATCACTAGACGAAAATTCAATTTAAAACATCTTGATTTCTGGAGTTGTTGCTCCCAAAACGAGTTTGGCGGTGGATATATTATGGAGACCACTATTTATGTGGCGCGCCCTCTATTAAATTAAAGAATATTGGTGCGGATGCTGCATGCACTATTGAACAAAAATTAACAACTCAGTTTCCGATCAATAACTCAAGAAATACAAGATGTATTAAACTGAAATTTCGTGCAATTATTTTCCACGATGTGTAACAGAGGGGTATTGAATATCATGAGAAACATTCCAACGATAAAAATAATATGATCGTAATAATGCAGTGTTTTACACGCGAAAAATACACATTGATTTTCATTCGGATTGCATTTGTCGCGCTCAAAACACTGTATTGTTATGGTCAATATTGCTTTATTGTTTGACGGTTTCTTATGAAACTAAATCTCACAATGTTTTTAACATAATCACAAAATCACTACAAAAATATTCAATTTAAAACATTTTGTATTTCTGAAGATGTTGCCCCCCCCCCCCCCCCCCCCCCAACGAGTTTGGTGGTAGATAATCATTATCGAGACCACTATTTATGTGGCGCGCCCTCTATTAAATTAAAGAGTATTGGTGCGGATGCTGCATGCACTATTGAACGAAAATCAACAACTCGGTTTCCGATCAATAACTCAAGAAATACAAGATGTATTAAACTGAAATTTCGTGCAATTATTTTCCACGATATGTAACAGAGGGGTATTGAATATCATGAGAAACAGTCCAAAGATAAAAATAATATGATCGTAATAATGTAGTGTTTTACACGCGAAAAATACACATTGATTTTCATTCGGATTGCATTTGTCGCGCTCAAAACACTGTATTGTTACGGTCAATATTGCTTTATTGTTTGACGGTTTCTTATGAAACTAAATCTCCCAATGTTTTAACATAATCACAAAATCACTACAAAAAAATTCAATTTAAAACATTTTGTATTTCTGAAGATGTTGCCCTCCCCCCCCCCCCCCAAACGAGTTTGGTGGTAGATAATCATTACCGAGACCACTATTTATGTGGCGCGCCCTCTATTGAAAGAATATTGGTGCGGATGCTGCACTATTGAACAAAAATAACAACTCAGTTTCCGATCAATAATTCAAGAAATACAAGATGTATTAAACTGATATTTCGTGCAATTATTTTCCACGATGTGTAACAGAGGGGTATGGAATATCATGAAAAACAGTTCCACGATTAAAATAATATGATCGTAACAATGTAGTGTTTACACGCGAAAAATACAGTGATTTTCATTCGGATTGCATTTGTCGCGCTAAATGTATTAAACTGAAATTTTGTGCAATTACTTTCCACGATGTGTAACAGAGGGGTATTGAATATCATGAGAAACAGACTAGTCCTATAATAAAAAAAAAATAATATGATCGTAACAATGTAGTGTTTTAAACGCGAAAAATACACATTGATTTTCATTCGGATTGCATTTGTCGCGCTTAAAACACTGTATTGTTACGGTCAACATTGCTTCATTGTTTGATGGTTTCTTATGAAATTAAATCTCGTAATGTTAAACATGATGACAAATCACTAGACGATAATACAACTTAAAACATCTTGTATTTCTGGAGTTGTTGCTCCCAAACGTGTTTGGTGGTGGATAATTATCGGTCGCCTTCAATTTGCGCGCCAGAAATGTCTCACAATGTTTTGAAATAGCGCCACCATTCTTCAACCACAAAATTAAATCCCTAAAAAAAATGGCGGCCTCCAGTGATGATCGGGGTTCGCGTAGAACTCCGCCTTCTTTGAAGGAAATTGTGAACAAACTTTGCACTAAATCCCCTAATAATCTGGAGAATGGACTGCAGGAGATTCAGGGCCTGGTTCGTAAAAGCAGGGGACTTGAAGTCGTGAGTGAGTTTCGGGAATTAGGAGGTTTAAATGAAGTTGTGCAGGTGGTTAAAAATGACGTGAATGAGAAATTGACAGATATGGCATTGAGTGTATTGGCAACGTGTTGCAGAGAACAGGAGTCGAAGAGTAGGGTAAGGTCACAGTTAATACATCAGGAAGTCTTTGTTCTTATGCGCAGAACAGTTCATTGTGTTATGATATATGCCACAAAAATGGGCGATCATGTAGTGAAGGGCCCCTGTTTTGTTTTGATCAAATTTAGAGTAAAAATGTTTTTATTCAATTATTGCTCCAAAATCACCTTTACAATCAAAAACGGACTTTTCTCAATTCTAGTGGAGTAGTGCCACCCCTTTTGCAATTTTGAACAGTTTCTTGGGGTAGAAATCTCGATTTTCCTGCGCGGTTTGTGTCTTGCGATTTAGCGCGCCGTGCATGCTCATGGTACATCGCATGGTGATCGCCATCTTTATTTTTTGGGTTGCGTGTTGTCGCCGCGCTGTCATCGTCATTTTCCCCCAAAATTTCCCTCAAAAAATCAAAACCCTGCCCTTTATCATATCTATGACATACAGTGTTATTAAATTGAGAATGTCGCCAACTAGTTTGGTAGGTCCATGGAGCTATTTTGGTAGGTTTGATCATTTTAAAGTGGATTTTGTTCCCTTTTATAATAGAACCGGGCCCTACACTACACGGTCGCCTAAAAATGTGCTATTGCATGATATTGTGAATGATAATTATCTCATTGAAGGTCGGTCATTGTAAAAATAATTTTAAAATGTTGAAAAGACTTGAATCTGGGATTGAGAAACATTTCCAATTTTGTTAAAAATTACTTGGAAATTCTACTTGGCTCTCCATAAGACCATAGACTTTGTACACAACCAAAAAAATGGCAACTGGGGAAAGAGTCCCATACTGAGCCACCAATCATATTCCCTAATATGGCCTGAAAAGTACTGAAAGTTGTAAAGGAGTGCAAATATTTTTAAAATATTTGTTTCTGTCATGGCCCATAGACTTACTGCAGGAGGTCTGAGTGGTGGCCCAGTATGGAATTCTTTCCGCAACGGGATACTACATTCTTTCCAAAATGGGAAGGAAGAAATTCATTGGATAAGCATGGAACGACCGTAATCTTTTAACAATATCAGAAATACCACAGTGAGTCAGAAGGCTTATTTTCAATCATCATTGATCATGCAAAATCACCCATGTGATGTATATAGCATGATGGCACATGCCATTTGTGTAGGGATGGGGGGAGGGGATAAAGGCCCCCCTTGATCAAACATTTTTTAAGTGAAAAAGAGGCATTTACATTGTAAGCCAGTATTATGATGTGAATTTAACTGAATGTGAATACATGTTGTACAATCCGCTGGAAAGAATGTTATATCATGAACAACACCACTAGTGTTAATGATGGCCAGTTGCTTTGTTATTGATGTGACTTGTTCTTGTTCTGTCAATTAACCTCATAAAAACACTCATTTAACTGATTTTCTCTTTAATTTTAGCCCTTCAAGTACAGCCATACAAGATTTGTGTGATTTTTGGGGGACTTCTTCAAAGAAATAATGGAGACAGTTATCTTCATTCTGAAAATTCTCAAAAATGGGAAAAACCTGTGAAAAGCCTAATTCACATTGAATTTTTAAGTTTGTTTAATTCTACCTCGACCCAATGTTTATTTTGGAGAGTATTGTATTTTAAAAAAAATGCAATTTTACAAATTCTTTCCTTCATTTTCCAAAGGTCCATGCACTAAAGGGGATTCCAGCAATAGGTAGGAAAAATCTCATCAAAACTGTTAGGCCAATTAAAAAAAAAACATGTTTAGCGTCCTGCCTTTTTGGAAAAAAAAGGAAGGAGGCCCTTTTCCCCTCCCCTTTTTTTCCAAAATGGTCCCCGACACATTTTCCAAACGACCGGCCGGGCTATTTTTCAAGATGGCCACCAGCTTTTTTTTAAATGGCCACCAGCTTTTCTTTTTGAATGGCCACCACTTGGACTCAGGAAATGACATACCAGCTTTATATGGGTAAGATGCAACAGACAAAGAGGCCAAAATGATGTCACTTTTGAAAATTTATCATTTTTTCTGGTGTTTTTTTTTTTCAATTAAAAAGAAAAAGAAAAAGGGAAGCGGGCAGGGATGCTGAACATGTTTGTTTTATATTTGGCCTTATTCTAGTTGTTTTTCTAGCACAAGTTTAGCACATAGAAATGAACGAACAATACAAGGACTATATACTGTAAAAAAAAAACACCCAATATTCTATTTCATGATCAAGGTGGCAAAAAGGGATGAATAATTTATTCAATCCAAAAAGAAGAAACACTATTTCATGTTTTGTACAGTTTTCATTAATGTCAAACTCAAAGGCACTCTTTTACCAGCTTTGTCTTCTTGTTGTGATCATGGCCCCCTGTATATATATCCCCTCAACCCTCGGTCCTCAATTGAAATGGAAATTAGATTTTAGAAGTGGTCGATTTCAGTTATTTAGCACAAATTAGTGATAACTGGTACTAAGAAAATGATTTTTGTTTTACCTTTCTCTCCCACAGTTGAGGTGCTTAGAGCACACAGTTCAGTCAGTGTCATCAACAGAGCATCCAGGGCTCTGGCCAACCTTGCAGAAGCCCCCAAGCTCTCTGCTGTCATTCACCAAGAAAAAGTCATTCCCCTCCTCATCAGATTGTTGAAGGAGACACCAGACTCTAACTGTCGACAGAGCATCCTACGCACGGTACGGATACTCGCGGACACCAGTCAACACACTTGGCAGATCCTACAGTCTGAGGGACTGTTGGCGGTTCTCAGTTGCTTGGATTCAGATGACGTCAAGCTCGTTAGCTGTGCTGTTCAAACGGCAGCCGAGTTAACCAACCATCTTGGATCAGAACATAGCACAGAAGCCCTCAGGTCTTATCTGGAGGCAGGAAGGCAAGCTGTTGAAGATAACAGAGTAGAGCTCTTAGTGGGGCTCCTGTCTCACTCCAAGCCTTCCATCCAGGAGCATTCCCTGATGGCATTACTGAATTTGATGGTATCGGAGGGGGTCAGGGTTGCTGCAGGTAAAGCGGGTGGGGTGGAAGTCTTCATAGAGCGTGGCAAGGCTACCACGTTCCCAGGGTGGGCCACATACATCCACTGCCTGTGCTTCTGCTGTCGGGAGGCAGTCAACAGAGTCAGGGTTAGGAATCTGGAGGGTCTGCAGGTGCTCCTCAACATCCTGAAGAGCTCTGATGAAGATTGTGTGAAGCTCCATGAGACAGTTCTGGTTGCCCTAATGGATTTCTACTATGATGAGCAAAGTCTCAACTACCTAGCTGCCTGTGGGTTTATCCAGATCCTGGTATCTCAACTGAGACTAGAAGAAAAGGCATCAGTCAGTACCTCTTCTGGCTGCTCTGAATCTAGTAAGTGACATGACATTATAAAACCTCCTTCCTTCTATGTTGTTTATCACCAGGTAAGCCATAAGCTATTACGATTTTCACTTCAACACTGAGTTAATCTCCTAATACTTACCGGAAGTTTCCCGTGGGTTTTTACTTTTTAACAGGGAGTGGTACAGATGAACTAAAGGAACCAGAGTTTGATTCATCACCTTCATCCAGCAAGTGTTCAGGCATGACGCAGGGATCCTTCAGTGCCCCCCAAAAAAGGGCAAGATCTTTGAGTGAGGGTCCTGACAAGAAACACCTCAGTGAGACTGAACCTGCAGTTGGTATTAAGCAGACTTTTGCCCACGACAGTCCACTTCTGGGACGAAAAGCGAAAAGGACCAGGGTGTCAGCTGCTACAGAGCCACAAAATGATCCCCAACCCAAGACCGCTGCCTCTTCTACACTTCCTTCCGCAATGGTGCAAACCGCTGCAGTTCAAGAGAGTATCTCCTCATCTCAGCCTTCTTCAGTTGCCTCAGGGATGTCACCTGGATCTTCCACCACCGACTATCACGCTTATCTCAATCTAGAAGCTACTCCATATTCACCTCCAAGCATTGACTGGGAGTGGTTTTTGCAGCACCGCGAGCAGACGGGCCAGGGGCTATCACCTCGGAGCTTCTCCAGTTTTTCTTCTCCACTTTCCCTCAGTCCATCGAGGTACCAGTAGTTTGTTATTCACTTCTTTTCACAGCATTTTCATTATATTCCCATTTTGCATGTTGTCACAACCGTATAATGTCAACTGAATCACAATCAAGCTCACACACAACTTTTTATAGTTTACTACACAAGGAACCATCAATTAAATAAAACATAAAAAATTTAAAATATACCGCTAAAACATATTGTGTTGGTTGACTAAATCACTATTGACTTTTGGAACTTGGTACAAAGAATACATACTGTACATAATTTTTTGGTAGTTAACCCTTTAAAGTACGGGCTTGGTGCTGACCCATGTGCAGGATGCTTCATTTAATGCAACATATTTTCAAAAACTGAATGCACACTCTGCATACGTGGTATCCAAGCTTGTTCAGATGTGTACACCATTTTAATGGAAGGATGTTTGTATTTCCAAACACATCAGATGTGATTTCTCACCAATGTCATCGCCTCTGTGGTCACCTCAGAACTCGCCCGATCACGCGCCCTCGTGGTCCTCACCTCATCACATTTCTGATGGCTCACCCCAACTAGCACCTGAGTGGTCACCTCAGCATTCTCCACAGTGGGAGAGTCAGCCCTCACCAGATCCAACTGAACGCACCCCTGTTGGTGATGTTTTGGCAGTTCCTGACAGCCCTACACAGCCCAGAGTAACAGTTTGTTACCTTAATTTGGAAGATAATATTGAAGTTTCTCAAGATGGAGGTTCTGCTCAAAGCAACCAGTCAGATGAGGCAGACAATCTAATAACAGGGCCAGCTAAGGGGCTTGTAACTTCAAAACCATCTGCAGAGGAGCAGTCTGGGAGCAGTAAGGGAAGTCAGGGAGGTGGCACTTTCAGAGAACCTCGTTCTAAGAGCTTAAAAATGAGGACTGGGAAAAGTAATACCACATCAGTTTGCCGTCTTACCCCAGATGTTCCCAGCCAAAAGGATCTGGAGTCAGACACAGACCTTCTTTCCTTCATGGGGTCCAAGGAACCAACAGAAAAAGCGGTTGCATCCAAATTTGAAAGGTACATGGAGATACGCCGAGCAAAACAGGAAGGGAAGCTGAGAAGGAGAGAGTATGCTGCAGTGACGCTACTCTCACGTTATTCCCACATGGACGACCCAAGCATCCACATGGCAAGGGAGTCTGTGGTGTCTGTGTTGCTTGACTACCAACCAAGCTCAGCTTACCTGCAACCTAAATGCCAGCGGACTCTGCACAGGATCTTGAGAAATAGACTCTGCTTTGAGCAACTCATCACCGAGCATGTACCCATGCTGATTGCTAGGAAGATGATCGACAGAGAGAACAAGGCAGAGCTTGATCGTTCTATTGATACCAGTAAAGGAAAGCCCAGAAGCAAGAGAAGTCAAAGTGCAGATGATCTGAGGTGCTTACCAAGCAGAACAGTGCCAAGCTACTCTGACAATCCTCAACCAGGGAGAGTTAACAAGAGGATCCTAACAGAAAGAAGTCACTCTTCAACGTCCGAGCCTGCTACCATATCCACAGAAGCAGCATGTTCAAGGACAAACCCTCCAAACAGAACACATAGCTGTGAAGCCGACACTCTCTCAGCCCTCATTGATGACTCGGCATCTGACACAACCTCAGTCTGCAGTATGGATACTCTGGAATCAGAGCAGTTCCAGCTCTGGGGGGACACGGCTTCACCCCTTTATCCACTGATGGTCTCAACCTGCCAGTTTAGGCAAGGAATCATGCTAAGACTTCTGTCTGGGTCTTTCAAAGAAAAGATGGCATGCATCCTTGCTGTACCCTACATCTGTCAGTAAGTTCACGTATAACAATAACCAGATAGTCCAGAAGATAGTAACCAGAAGTAAAAAAAGCTCAGCAGTAGAACGTTGCCATACAGTACACAATGGGCTCCACAATGGGGTCCTTTTTTACAGTGTCCCATGGCCTCAAGTATCAGTGTAAAATATTGGGAGCCAAAGGGGGTGTTCATCAAAGCAAATTCCTGTTTTCCTGTATTGTTATTGAAAAATTCATCGGTACTATTTGTTTTCATGTCTTTAGGAATAATAGCCTCAAGAGAAGACTTCTCATCAAGTATAGGGGGCTTCAAATCCTGCTGGAGTGTCTCTGCAAAGGTAAGAGCGTACCGGATTTGTTCAACAAAGCGGTGCAATGTCTACGTGACCTCTCAGCTGCAGTATTCCTAAATTCAAACCAGGAAGAATGTATTCAGTGGAGACGCCCAGGAGACCCTGCTAAGAAGGTAACTTTAGAGGGTTCTAAAAAGGAGGAAAGGTATTCATCATTGAGCATGGTCAGAGATGGTAGCTCCTCCTTGCACAATGATGCAGGGACGAGATGTACAAGTAAGGTTGATCATCTATTTCACACTTCAAAGGCAGAAAGTAGAAACATTCAGAAAACCGCTGAGGAAGCCATGGATACTTGCTCTTCAGAAGTCCAGGATTCAAAGGACAAAGATTCTCTCCCTGAAGGTCAAGAGTATATTAGAGTACCTTCTACAGCAACCACGGGTGTCCTATCAAAACCAGATGCCTGCCTCCTTGATGCTGCAGACAAGGAGTTTGATGTAAATTTTGTCTTGGACCAGGAAGTAGTGATCCAGGCCCACAGGGACATCCTCACCAAGAGCTCAGAATACTTCAGCTGCCTCCTGGAGGGTCCCTACTTGGAATCAGGACAGAGCAAGGTACCTCTCAAAGAGATTTCCAAGGAAGCTCTGGCGTTAATTCTTCATTCCTTATACGGATGCCATCAAGCAGAGTGCTGCCACATGAAAAGCACAGTGGCCGGCGGCTGCAAGGTGATCTTGGAGTCAGTAGCATGCTCCGGTCGATTTCTTCTCTGGTCTGTCCAAAATCAGATCTGCGACATAATTGTAGACACTTACATGAATGCTGCTACTGTAGTGAATCACTTCCAGTTTGGCTTGAAGCACAACTGCTCCAAGCTAACCGGCGCCTGTTTGATGTTCATGCTGACAAGTGGTCAGGTGATGCCTGGGCACTTTCAGGAACTGGTTGAGAGAGGATGTGCCGATGAAGCCTTCAAGACTATTGAGAGAATGATTACTGATGCACTTTTTTCCATTGCTTGAGACATTAACGCATTTACGTGTATATCAAGCATGACCAAAGCATGCATCACCAAAGTCTGTAGGCCTGAAATTTGTTGCCAATGGGAGACTATTGAGACATTGGTGGCAGCAAACACACTGGTCCTTTTCCTATTGTTTTCGTCATATTGAGCATGCGCGCTTGAGCTTCAACATGATGTAAACAGTTGAAAGGATTGGTATGTTTGCTGCCACCAACGTCTCAAAAGTCTCCCATTATCTATGTAACCTTGACAAGATTTCATTTAAACTTATTTATTTTTGTAATTCATGAAATAAATGAATAATCAGCAGAGATTTTCAATTTAAAGTTTAGGACAAATATTTATTGCATCATTAACCCTTGCTGTCTAACACGCCATTGACTTTACAAGCAAAATGTGCAAATATTGAAGTGTTTTGGAGAGTGGAGGAAAGCAAGGGTTAAGAAGTAATTATCAGAAGAGCAATTTGCGTTTCTGTTCTGCTCACGTGGCAGGGCACGGACTTATTGTGTTAATTCATTATATGTACACTTTTGTCTCTGCTTATTCTGTGTGGATGTGGGTTTCATTTTTTTTATGAAGATTTTTTTTTCGTCCACTGCCTGATCTGAGCCATTTACGAGAGGCTGCACTTTGCCAAATTATGGCGAAAATGATCTTTGGTGGTGTCTGACTGCACAAGTTTCTCAAAGTCAGACCCAGAAACTGAAGACACTGTACCTTGACGCCTTCAAAAACATAGTTAACCCATTGATGTTTACGTGTATAAGAGTAGTCTTTGCCCAATACGTGAGCGATCAATGAGATGGTTGCATTATTGTAAAGCACACTTGCACAATTGTTATTTTACTTTCTCGCACTAACGTCTTAGGACTTTTGCAGTAATGGGAGCGTGGCCCGTAGTCACTCGCGCAGGGGTATCACTGTGTTGCATACATTTGTGTATGTAATCATAGAGGTAGAAAACACTAGCAATGCTTGATCATCACACGTAGCGCGTATGTTTACAACCGTCGCGCGAGTACGTGACTAGACTGACTATAAACCATTTCGCAATCGCCGACTGGTTCCCTAGGAAAGCCTAGGGAGAAAATAAAGAAACAGTTAAACGGCTACTACATAATTCCCAAGAAGTTAGTGCGAGCAGGCGCGCTGGTCTAATCACGCCGTTAGATATGCAGGATCCAAGACTTGGGCCAAGACTAGTATGAGAGTGGCTTTTACTCTAAATCGTTTGGTCCCTGGTTTCATTTTGTGGAAATAAGAGATCTATGCCACTTGTTGACTTAAAGAACTGCGAAGCTTCTTGCTTTATTGAGAGACAATTACTTATTACATTGTATTTTCATAATGTGCTTGCAGCCATGATCCTTGTAGCATCAGCAAAACCTCATCATGTACGTGTAATTGCTAAAACATACTTCGGTTTTTGAAAAGTAACGATAAGAACAGTAACATGACATCTTAACATAATTGACGAACTCATTGTTTCTACCAAGGTAGTAGACTGCCCCTTGATTTATTGGGTTAAGACATCTTACACTCTTCTCGGACAACCAGGGTTTTTTTTTCTCTTTGAGGAGAAACAGCCAGCCATCCACAGGTTTGAATCTCGATTAAGAATATTCAGTAACTAAAACAAAAGTTTGAATGAATAAAATTAAGGGCAAGCAAAGTCTTGTAAAAGTGTTCTGTGTTATTATTTCATTGTTGGGTTAACACAATTTACCCGTATTTTGACCCTTTTTCCTGATTATTAAAATAATTAAACGGCAACTTAAAACAAGAAAACCCTCTTGTTTTTTTCTATTTTTCCACTGATTCTGAATTGAAGACAAAACAGACAGCTTGTGTTTCACATGTTCACATGTAGCTTGACTAGACCTATCAGAATTTGCTTAAGCTGTCGCGTGACCCACCCTCATGACTGAGATACCCCAAGGTCGATCCTTCTCATGTCCGTCGCAGTTGTATTGGACTTCATCGCTCTCTGCTTTCCAGGGGTAACCACCAGGTCACTTCTTTTCCCCCGCCGGCTCACCAACCGTCCCTTGTCTATCGCCTCCTTCCTAATCCGCTGCTCTCGCACTCTTTCCAAGTTCTGCTTGGCTTTCTGCAGAAACTGAATCATGGCACTGTCGAACTCGGCACTCATGATGTTCGGTTTGGAGTCCACACGGTTTGTTTTGGTCCGGTTCCCATTGGCAGATTTGGGTTCCAGGAGACGGAGGTCCATCTGGGATGCCAGGCCCGGTTTGGGCGGGGTACCAAGCCTGTTGTCCTGGTAGACGTTCCCGGAGTCTGTGACCACGTAGGCGGGCATAGGGAACCGCACCACGTCTGGCTCTCGGGCGATGTTTGGGAGTGACCCTCCCGTGCGCTTCGCGCTGTGAGAGTACCGTAGCTTGGCCGGGCCTTGCACGTTCCTGGCCCCGCTCCCGCTTCCGCAGATGAAGGGCCGGAAGACCATGTCCTTCGGTCTTTGAAACGCCGGGCTGAAGACGTCGGAGAAGTTCGTCTGGACCTCATCAGAAAATGAAAAATCAGGTCTCTTTTTCTCATTTGCGGGATCAATTTCACTCGGTGGAGTAGGCAACCTGTTTGACACGAATGTGAAAAAAAATGTAATTATAAGGACCTAAATAACTATTAGAAACAGAAAAAGGCTTCTTATAATATTTATTGAACTTGTATAAGAGTGATTTGAGCATTTGTATGTTGGAGAGTCAGACTTGAAAGAAAGCGTGCGGATGCACCACATGAAGTGACACATTCAAAAGAGAAGTTCAGAAAAGAATAATTGTCGGCTCGATGGTAAGTAGCGTGTTGGTAAGTAAAGTATACTCCAATACCGTCATAGGTGAAGCTTATAGTCAACTTCATTGTGTTGTATCCGCAAGCTTCTCATGCCGAACTTCAAGATAAAGCCACTAACGATATCTTAACAGCTGTGAAATGAACAGTGGAATTACTTTCAGATAATTTTCCGTCAAGCTGGTAAGTCCATGATTGAACCATGTGCCGATCGTGCTAGCTTAGCCTATAATAAGATAGAATTTTTGCGCCGGGGTGATATAAATCAAATTTTGCCCTTCACCGACGTTTAAACACTGTATACTCAGTGTGTTACCTCCCGAGTGAAAGTTGGAAAAAATCACTCGGGTGGGACTCGAACCCACGACCTGCTTTCTAGTGCAGATGTCTTACCACTCGACCACCGAGCTAACGGGATAGGTTGGCCGGTTCGAATCTGATGTACATAGCAGCGGGTACCGCATAAACTATTATAAGATGGATTTTTTTGTTTTGTTTAGCTTAGCCTATAGATAAATTCTTTTTCAGCAGCCATCTTTGAGGTGTGTTTTGTTCAATCCATGAATACACGAGAGGTATAATCATGTGTATCCCTGTAAGACAAAAGCTAGCACACACCTCATTTGGGAATGGCTCAGCAGTACAAATGGTCTACTGTGGTCGTTGCAATTTTGCAGAATTTTACTCCGGGAATAATCGTAGCCCTGAAAGAAAATTCCACTCAGTTGCGTCATACATAGGGCATGTGACGTCCTGTAACTATCGCCTTTGTGCCTCACGCCAGTTGTGCACTTAAATGGCTTTCAAAAAGCAGTGATGACGCAAATGGTATTGAAATGGTGGTGATATATAGACCGTGTTTTGAAGAGAACAGAATCGTGGCCGTGGGTGAATTTACTGCCCAACTCATCAATAGTGCTGATGTGAACGTGACGTGGAAATAAGATAGGAGATCGGACGGGTAAAACAAAGTAGGCCCTGCCGTGTGGATGAGTTGGGTGGCCTACCTGTGTTCTTGTAGGGCGAAAGGGGCGCCTGTGGCAAGTGTGCGTTTTGGTCGTCTTTTCATGAAGTCCTGTAACCGGCTGTACATCTTCCTGCAAGGGAATTGATCAAATAATATTTTTTTAATAACCAATTTTAAGACACTCACCCATGTTCAGTTTTGCCAACGAAAAGGATTAATGGTCTATAAGGGTCATTTTGGGCCTAAGTTGTGAGGAGTTGACAAAACCTGTTGTTTTAGGTTAATGTTTATTATGTCGGACCCATATATGTAAATGTATAATGTTATTAATATTTGCCAGTTTTTACAATTGTTCCTTTGTATTACCCCCAGTTGACAGTGTTTAAAAGAGCCTTGAATTTTGGTGGCATTTCAAATTTGCGCCGTGGCAAAGCGGCTGTAACTGTACGTAGGGTGGATTTTGCGAAATTTCGCGAGACAGTAGGCCTATCTCAACTTTTTTTTATCTTAGAAAACAACCTCGGTTTGAATGTGGGCTTAATTATGTATAACAGGTGTACGCGCCTATGGTATTCGTAATACATGTGTAGTGGTATTTCTGTGCTGAAGTTGTTGTTTGTTCACAACCAACAGTTGGAATGAACATTTTCTCCATGTGAAGGACACTTAACAGCTACAAGCTGCCCTGGTGCAGCAAACAGAACGTTGGAGGCATTTCTTAAGTACCTCTCTATTGGCAGCGATCCGACAAATATATCACATTGTCAAGCTGTGTTTGCCGTTCAAATTTGAGCACCCGTTTGTCAATATGTTCTGGACTCAAAACCCAGGCACGAGGCATTTTTAGACCCTTGGAAACAGAATGCCGTCGGCTCCATTGATTTCTTTTCGGTGTTTGGGTTGCAATAGGCCAAGGGTTGATGAATTGGTGCTAAAATTGATGGTGGAGTTTGTAGCACTAGTAATCTGAAGATGATGGAATTCAAGCTTTCAACATTCACAACGTATGTGAAAACAAAATTCAAGTGTCGTTTTCTGATATGTAATATAATATTGTTCTAGGCCTGTAAGAAAGAATTTGCATGATGCTGGAGATAACACTAGTGCAGTGAAGGCCCGTGATAGACTTTCCAGATTTTTGACCGAAGAAAATGATTTGTTACAAAATGCCACGTTAATGAAAACTTGAAGATCTAGCATTTTGTATCAAATTGATCATGAAGACTATAAAGAAAGCCGTGCGGTTGTGTGTCGATCGTATGCTACATGCACTTTTCTTATCAAATTTCACTTGTCTTGATTGTTGGACAATAAGAAGAAAGGATAAATCACTATACGAATAAGAAAGGTAATAGAGATGGACAGAGTAAGCAATTATATGGGTATTTAGCCTTTTTTTTCTTTCAGAGAAAGGCGTGATTTTCATCATTTATTGGTGAACAAGAAAAGCATATAACTGAAGCAAATATCTGAACCAGCTTCATGTTTGCGGTTTCTCAAGGAAAAAAAACCTTTACGCAGAGACTATGGTCTTGGATATAGGCTGTATAGCTTCGCAGGTAGCAGGTTCAAATCCCGTTCTAGTCGATTTCTTTGCTTAACCTGTTAGTATATAAGCAAGTAGTAAGCCTAGGCCTATATATAGTCGGCATCCCTTGGTGGTTTTTCAATTATTGACAACCGAGACCCGTGATATAGAAAAAAAACCGATTCTTGAAGATTCTTAAGGTTCACCTGAAATTCTAAGACTCACCTGAAATTATCGGACTTGAAGGCGTATGGGTCGGGGAGGTTTTTCCCGAACGCCGAGTTACCATCCTTGACGGGGCATCCGTCAGATCCGACCAGACGCAGGACGTGTCTCTCCCGGTACTCCTTGATGTACTCGCTCGCTTCGAGTCGGTGCTCGAATCGCGTCTCGGCATGTCTCGCATCTCGAGGATTTCCAGCCGATTTGGTGGAGGGTTTTGAAGGAGTCCGTTGACTGGAACGCGCCGATTTGCCGTTGTGGTTGTTGGTCTGAGGTGCCGACTTCCGAGGGGTTGAGCTCTGGACTCCTCGGTCGGTGCTCACCAGCGGGGTTGGTCGAGTGGTGCCCGAGGGGAGAGCGTCAAACCAACCGGCCAGGGGTGTGCTCCATGACTGGTGGGCCGAGGAGCAAAACTCCGGCTTCGCGATCTCACCTGGCCGATGGACCAGGCCCTGACGCCAGTTGCACGAGCAGATCTCTTCAAAAGCTCCAAGATCATCAACGTCCTTATTCGAGTTGAACTTTGGACAAGATTGGGCCTTGGACCGTGACATGGCGGGGCAGCCGACGGATCAATATTCCATGGACTGAACTGAAGTGATTTTTTTTGTAGAGTCTGAACAAATTCATGACTTTCCTCCAAGGTTATCATCCATCCTGCTCACGAGACCGTGATCTTACAAACAGAACTTTCTCATTTTTCTAACTAAACATCACTCTGTTCAAGAATGTGTTGCCCATCCCAAAACGTTATGTGGATGTTCATTACAAGGCACCACACTGTAGCTTCCACACATGCATAATTATGAGCATCTTCCACTACAAATCGTGTGTCCTCTCAATCTTCTTGAATGTTTGTAGCATAAATCAAGTCTTCTCACACTGAAGAGGCAAAGGAATATTTCCATGACAAAGGGAAGAAGGCTCCATCTGACCGCAAGTGTTTACCCCGTAAGGATTATGAGCTGGTTGAAGAGTTGTAACCGCTTTGTTGTCGGACAGAGGTAGTTTGCCCAAGCACAGCTAATACCTTTGAATGCGCGGGGTTTCAAAGAAAGCCTCGAGCAAGCTTGCTTGGCTACGGATTGTTGTTGGGTCTATGCACAACGCGACGCTCCACCCTGGTGACATAGCGGGAGAACATTTTACCAAGATGCCCCAGGCCAACTGGCTTACCGACCAGCGACGGAAACTAGAATTTCCTGCGTCCTGACAAACGAGAAATGTGGGCAGCTGACGGTATTGGTGTTGGGCATCGATTTTTTTTGGACCCACGTTATTTTAAGTGGAGTGTGTGCAAACATGAGGAATTATTGACTCTGGGTAAATGCATGGTTAGCTCAAAACAAGCAACCACCGCTATGTTTTATTTAAAAGAGAAGGGCCGGCAATTAAAAGGTCGAGCCACATGATCAGATATCTAGGTTAAACAATATTAAATGCAGAATCGTTGAACATTCCTCACAACTCCCCCCCCCAAAAAAAAAGGGCCGGGGAGGGAGAAAAAAGACTGTTCACTGTTGTAAAAGGGACAAATTGAAACGAGAACACTGTCCTCCCAACAAAAATAATACCAGAGTCTATACAGCGCACGTATATACCAACAACTTGTACTCAAGGCGCTGGTAATTACGTCTATTTTTAAAGACGGTTAAAAAATTAATGATGTTCAGGAAATGTGAGACCCATTATTATGTAGCATCTTTATAAGGGTTTACAAGGTGCTGCGGCGCATATTGCAGCCACTGCCAGAAACACCAGGGGCTAACCCCTTCTCCGCTTAGAGATGTTACTGGGTTAATGTGCATTACACAACACACGGAACATACGGCCAATACGTCCTATCCAATGGACGAAGCAATAATGGTAAAGTGCCTTGCTCAAGCCCCATGTTCCCCGTCAGGATTCGTTCCCCGTCAGGATTCGAACCCATGACCACGGCACACGAGTCGAACACCGTAACCATTGGACCACAGCACCCCACATGCGGGTTCGATCACACTAATTTGCCTCATCATGATGCGGGCTCACAACAACTTTACACAAAATATCGGGGCCGATCCGTATCCGCCGAAAAGCAAGATCACGAAGGCAAATCACATACGAAACTCTATTAATTTGTAAACTAAGTGTTTTCCTTGCAAACTCCTGATTGCTCTCGTTACAAAAATCGGGACTGTCCCAGCTATAATTGTGGCCATTGCTTTAGTTGGCGGTTTCAACTTCACTTGTTTGATCCAAAATGAAGGGGCGGTATCGTGAGTGCTTCTTTTGAGGGAAAACTGGAAATAAACGAAAATTCAGTCTTGGCCATGGACCAAGCCTAATCTGAAGCCGAACGGAGCGAATATTTTATCGGAGCAAATTTTGAGAAAATTTTTCTCCGTTCGGCTTCAGATTAGTCTTGGTCCGAGACTGTATTTGATTTTTTGTTCCCCTATTTTGCAGCCAGTCCCGTGACAAACACTGTTCAGTTGCCGCGGCGATGGTCTCTGTCAACAAGATGAGTCAAATCCAGTCTTTGCAATATTGGCAGCGCTATCCAGAAAATTCCCAGCATACCTCACGCGCATGCATTAGTTTGAATAAAGAAAGCGTGAGTTACGCTCGGAATTTCTTGGGTAGTGCTGCCAATACTTCCAAGACTGTGTTTGATTCATCTTATTGATACACGGCGACCTCGCTTTAAGTTGTCACCGTGCACAGTGAGCAGTGCAAGACACGACGGTGTATGGGACTACCCCTACCTGCGAGTACCATGGCCCTCCTACTCAGAATTTGGAAAGGCGAAAATAGACGTTTAATTAATTTTTTTTTAAATCATTGCGCCTCCCTCAATGAGGCCCTGAAGTGTCCCTCTGCCGACCCTTTGATCTGCCCCCCCCCCCCCCATTGGATCCCGTCGGAAGTACTGCGCAAGGGCATGAGCTATGAACTATCGGGCCCACACAGCGGCGTAGCAAGGGTTAAACTTCTAGGGGCACCTGAGGGGTACCGATTTTCCAAGCGTAGCACGGAAGGCAAACGAATTACAAAGGTTATGTTTTTGTGCAATTCAAGATTTTAAATGGGGGTGGGGGGGGGGGCAATGACAAAGACCTCAGTTGTCCCCGTAGTTGCGCCACGGCGGGCCCTCATGATTAAAATCGTAGAGGAAAGACACGCCCCTTCACTGTACCTACAGTGCTTTGCAAATCCAAATGAGTGGTGGCGCTATACAGCCACACCGTTGTGATTATTTCAACATGGCGGCGCGCAGGGAACACGAGGACGACGACGGTCCAAGTAAAAAGAAACCGAAATATGTCAAGACGTTACACGACAAACACATCAAGAAAAGACTGATCGTTGTGCTGGAAAGGTCATCGCTGGAAGCTGTGAAGGTTATAATAATTTTCAGTGTCGTACAGTCCACTGAATTGCATGATGTCGCGCATGAATGGCATTCACCGTTTATTTTTTTTCACGTGGCCGTGGGTGCTAGTTTCACGTGTACCATGTACCACACACGTCATGCACGTGTACATGTGCTTATGTTGAAGTTTGGTGATTCTAATGACATGGAAAGACATCATGATATAGGCCTATCTTTTAGTTTAACTTTTAAACATTATTTTTTTTTACAGGGCCTTAACAATCCAAGGATATTTTTAGGGTAAATGTTGCTATAGCTAAAAGTAAAACATTACAGTTGTTATAAAAATGTTCTTTATTATATGTTTAGATTTCAGTTACAAAACAGAAAAGCCATCAAACTGCTTCAGTGGGACTTTTTTTGTTTCAATATTGTTTGTACCGAAAAAATGGTGCCAACTCCTTATACTTATAGCCCTGTCATTTGCTAAGAAATACGGCCTATGAATAGTACTTCTGAAAAATTAAATGTGGACTTTTTTTTTATTCCAGGCTGGTAAAAATTATGAATTGCTCAACTGCGATCGTCACAGACACCTGATGAAGAAATTCTACCGAGATCCCAAAGATTGTCGTCCAGATATCACCCATCAGGTAGTTAGACATTAAATATTGAACAATTTGCGTCACAAAACTGTTTTCTTTTTCTTTTTTTAACTCCCAAGCGGATTTTATTAAATGTCAAATGTTATTGAATTTGATTCCCTCGTGTATATTTCCTCAAAGCTTTGTGATTCCGTGCTACAAACAGTACTTGTTCACATAAATGTGAATCTGTTATATCCTCCAATGTTTACAAAGTTGTGCATGGTTATTTGTCTTTGCTTTATTAACCATAAATCCTACTCCCAATAAAAACAAATATTTACATATTTGATCAAATGGATATTCAAATACTTTAGTATTGGAAAACTAGAATTGACTCAGCCCTATTGGACTCTGTGGCAGTCAAGTCTGTCACAAGTCCCTGCAAGTCCTCACAAGTCCATCACAAGTCCTCCAGTCCCAATTCAACTCACAAGCTATTCACATGAGCTTTGACCACGGCATTCATTTGTTATTGTTCATCCACTGTTACTTGTGATTGGACTTGTGACTGGACTTGTGACTTGACTTGTGATGTTCTTGTGATGTGCTTGTGACTTGACTTGTGACTGGACTTGTAATGTACTTGTGACTGGACTTGTGAATGGACTTGTGACTGGACTTGTGACTGGACTTGTGACTGGACTTGTGACTGAACTTGTGATGGACTTGTGACTGGACTTGTGACTGGACTTGTGATGTACTTGTGACTGGACTTGTGACTGGACTTGTGATGCACTTGTGACTGGACTTGTGACTGGACTTGTGATGTTCTTGTGATGTACTTGTGACTGGACTTGCGACTTGACTTGTAACTGGACTTGTGACTGGACTTGTAACTGGACTTGTGACTGGACTTGTGATGGACTTGTGATGGACTCGACTACAACACTGCTATTTGATGATCATCTTTTTTCCCCTGTTATTTGTTCCTACTTGAAGTGTCTGCTGATGCTGTTCGATAGTCCTCTCAACCGGGCCGGCCTGCTTCAAGTCTTTGTCCACACAGACAAGAACGTCCTGATCCAGATCAATCCCCAGACAAGAATACCCAGGACGTTTGATCGGTTCTGTGGTCTTATGGGTAAGGATATACATACATTAAGGGTCCTCCAAAATCAACTACCACAAAAATTGCATACGGCCTCAATCCTCCTAAAATCCCGCAAAACTGCCCGATTGATTTTGGAGGATGGAGGTTAATTTGGAGGATCAAGGTTAAGGTTAACCCTAACTCCCTAGCAGTAGCCTGATTTACTAGGAACCATACCCATCCTGGCAAATCCAGCACCATACTGGAAACTGCACACACATATTTCTGACATGTTTCTAGAGGTGTGCCAACCCAATGTAAAAGACTGTCAGTTTAGGGGTACTGTACCCATCCTGACAGATTCCAACAAAAGATGCTGTTGGGGTTTGAATGGTTGAGTTCTGTTAGGGTTAAAATACATCCAAATCTCTTGTCTAGAGCTATATCTATGTCTTTGCCCATTATAAATTATGTAGAAACATTCTGACAATAGACGAAGCCATTGCTCTAGAAGCCCCTTCCGGACACGTCCTAGCACATAGTATTCGGGGAGTCAGTCAGTCGGGGAGTTAGTCGGTCAGTCAGTCGGAGAGTCAGTCGGTCGGTTGGTCGGTTGGTCTGTCAGTCAGTCAGTCATGCCATAATTCAGAGGACAGTGATCGCACCCTTCATGTCCAGCTACTACTCATATAATTTTACTTTTGCATTTGTACAAATAATTGAATAATTTGTTTCAGTTCAACTCCTCCACAAGATGAGCATCAGTGCGTCGGACGGGCCCCAGAAGCTCCTCAAAGTGGTCAAGAACCCCGTCTCCGATCACCTCCCAACAGGCTGCAAGAAGATCGGCACCAGCTTCAGTGCTACAAAGTGTGTCAACCCCAGGGAACTGGCATCTACTGAGGAACCGGTCGTCATAGTGATAGGAGCAATGGCTCATGGGAAGGTATTAAGATCTGAACTCGTATGAAGATGGGCAATCCTCCAATTTTCATACGATTTTGCACACCCCCTAGGGAGTTAGGGTTAAAGATAATATACAGCATTTGCAAACATCAAACAACAAAACTACCATATTATTATGAAATAACTTAATTGGCTGTAAGTGAATAATAGTTTCAAGCATCCTGTGAAATCATGGCACCTGGCGGGCTGTCATTACCAAGCAAAGCAGAATCTTTGTATCGGTTTCCAACGTTTGCCAACAATGGTTGGCTAACCATCGCTGGAAAAACTGACTTGACAAATACTGCCCCAAGTTCACATAATTTAGATAGTTCACATTTTGTTTGCAATCAAATACATATCCACAAAAGGGTGCAAGCCAGCTAGTCTGGTTCCTTGACCTGACAATTCCTAGATGTCTATAAAGTGCCCTATTTTGTCCGAAGTAGGGTCAGGGAACCAGACTACAAAGACAGCATTTTTTCCTTGTGTTTTTCCCCAGCGTCTATGAACACAATGCCTTTAACAGGTCAATGTATACAATATTTGCTACAAAATACTAACCCGCAAATCCATCCATTTCTTGAAAATTAGCAAAAGCAAACATTGTATATTACCTTTCAAACCTCTGTAATTGTAGTTACTGATTAGTTTTGTTCTCAAGTACCCACACAAACAATGCAGTACCTTTTTTGGTCGTATGCAAATATTTAAATTAAGTTGACCTCCAAAGCAGAGGTCAAAAGGACAGCACCACGGCAACCATTCTATGATGCTTTGAGTGGGATATTAAAGCAGTATTAGACAAGTCTCTTTTAAAAAAATGTGTTCAGCAGAGCACAGACGCACATTTTACTTTCCAAAATGTAGGGAATGGAATCACGTTGAAAATTGTGTCATCATTTGGGGATGTAAATCTATTCTGACTTGTGGAGGAGTTGACTTGGCATGAATATGTATCAAGTAAATTTTAATTTTTCTTTTTCATTTTCAATTATTTTTCATCATATGCATGTTTGTCCAGGTAGATGTTGATTATATTGAAGAGGAAGTCGCCGTCAGCCTGTACCCGCTGTCTGCTGCCCTCACGTGTGCAAAGATCTGCTCAGGATTCGAGGAAGCCTGGGGAGTGGTGTGAATGTGACCTCTGACCCCACATGAATATTCATGACCACTGGCCTCGAGCTCTGCAAGAACTGTCACTGAATTTAGCTATCCGGTTCGTTAGTAAATCAAACACTCGCACCACTGATAACTAGCGCCCATTGGATAAATGCTCGAGTTGCGATAACTTCCGGTTCCATTCGTGCTATGCTACACCCTGTGATGTATGCATTGTTAAGTTGAGATGACGTCATACTAACAAACCAGATAAACAAGTAGCTTTGAAATATTTGTTTATGACATTTCTCAAAAAAACGTTGGCATCCACAGAATGTTGATTCAAGGTTTTGGATCTGGGTCTATGGGGGAGGGGGGGGGGAAGAAACAAAATGGATATTTCTTTCTTTTTCAGAAAAAAGTTGAACAAAACATGTTTAAGAAAATGTGTTTCAAAAGTGAAAGTTTGAGTATTGTTTCCGTTGTGAAGTGTTTTCTGTTTCTATTTCTTTTTAAATTAACAAAGGGCAAAAAATGTTTCACTACTGAAACCAAATCTTTTGGGGGCTAGTTACATGTGGCCATGAAAAAATTTGTAAAAGTTTGGTGGGTTTTTTTTTGGGGGGGGGGGGGGGGAGCGTGGCCCCTGTTTTCAAAAACAAAAATTGTTGGGGTTTAGACTCCCAAATCCCCAGTCATACACAAACAGAGTTATAATAGTCACAATATTGTCAAGTGTTGTGTACTTTTTGTTTCAGGTTTCTCTGTTCGAGATTATCTTTTACATTGTTGTAAAAAGAGTGTAAATAAAGTGAGAAAACTACACAAAAAATTATGAAAACAAACATTGTCACATGTCAAACATTGTTTACTCAGACCATACTCCCATGTGTTCAAATATAACCCCACTGCAGTTGCTATAAACCAAATGCAAATAATGTGTACTTCGGAATTGCCAATAAGCCAAATGAGCACCAAGAAATAGCTTACATTTATCTTATATTTTACCCAGTAAAAGTCCTTTCGTGATTAAAAAAGCCCTCAAATGTCAGAGTGCATAAACTTCTATTCAATTCGTTCAAAAGGGCTATTCACTGGAAGTCTTTCCATGGATCCTGTTGACACAATTGGCCATATATAGCCCATTCATAGAGATAACTGGGTAATCATATACGATAGCACTGCCCGACTCTTTTCCTTTCTACGACCAGTGTTTATTCTGTGTGCTGGAAGACAGATTCTGTGCATGCTTTTTAAACGACGTATCCGGAAACAAAATAGAGATTCACCATTCATACACAAATTTTTAAAGAATAAAGCTGATTTTCACAAAAGGGTAACCAAAAAACCACACCTTTGCCTGCACCCCCTCCAGCGGCCCCGCCTCCGGACGTGCCCCCTAATTAATACCGTTATACAGCAGCCATGCCTGGGAAAGTGGGCCGGGGTGGCATGGGTAGACTTGTTATGTGGTCCGTCGGGCATTTTCTACGCAATTTTTGGCATGCGCAGTCATCCCATTATTTTAGTTCATGTTCATTTACTTCTTCTGAATTATTTATTCATTTATATTCAGTTTATCGTGTTTACATCTATTATATTTTCCTAAGAATTCATTTGAAAGAATGGGAATCAATAAATCAATCAAAATCAAATAAAAACTTCCCATGTCCCATACAACCTGCGAGTTGTTTTTTTTCCACGAAATACTAGTATCAGAAATCAGATTGTTCCATGGTGTTCAAGGTTTTTGAGTTCTTTTTATAGCTTGGACTTCGTTATGAATTTCTGTACGGCAAGACTGTGAATGGAAATTGATGATAAAAACCAAACAAACATGGAAATTAGTGAAGGTTCAGCAGACACATATTGTGAATTTCAAATCAGACTTCGGACTGGCCATCATAATGAATTGTTTTGTTTGTTCTATTCGATTACCCCTATGTGATGAATAGAGGTGTCTGATGTGACGTCATGCTGAATTTTGTCTTTCCCAATCTCCCGCGTGTACTGTGTGTACGACGTACATGTATGTGCACGTACTACTGTATGCACAACAATACAATGTGCACTAGTGTATGCGATATGCGTACATGCGTAGATTGACGATATGGAGAGTGAAAATGGCGGTTAAGGGTGCCCAATATCACAAAATTTGACCATTTTCTCCAAACCAAATTCGAACAAGATGGCGAGGGATGATTTCTTCCCATCCAAGGCACAGACTGGATTCGTCCAGTTCGACAGGGAAGGCTGGAGGAAGACCGAGGATGACTCGTTCGACAAGCAGCACAGCCCCACTGGCGGGAGCGACAGCAGCCTGCCCAGCGCCACGGAAAACGGCGACGATAAAGTGATTCACTCGGGACACTTTATGGTCAGCAACCCCCACAAAATCAAGCACAAGCACAACAGTGGTGGTGGCAGCAAAGTTGGCTACAATTTCGACAATGCGCCAACAGAGCCGAGCTCCAGCTACCAGTTTTTGGAGGTTGACGGGACGGGTCACTCCGAGATTGATGTCTCGTTTTCCAAGCTTTTTGAGTGCATGAGTTTGGCCTACACGGGGTGAGTTAAGTTGTCATGTTTGTTGCTCCATCGAGCGACCTTCAATTGCATCATCATCATCATTGGTTACATAATTACCCAATTCAACACGTGAAGGTCCACGCTATACTGCTTGAATTCAGAAGCCAGCAGAACATAATCATCATCTTCACCATGTTCACTTTTTTCTGTAAAAAAAATATGACTTAAAATTAAATGAAGTGAAGAATAAAAGTGTTTTTGATCCCACTTTAGTTTCACACGATTTACAATCATGCATGACAATGACAGACATCAGTATCAAGTATCAGTTAATGATTATGATATCAAACAATGTCCAATTTTATATTTTTATTTTTTTTGGGGGGGGGATAGTTTTGTCACATTTAGTGACCATAATGTGTATAAAATTGCAAGTTCGAGGTTGCATCCGTCAGAAGTTGAACCCGTAATATTATTAATAAAGTGCCTTTCTTTGGTCATATGCCAAAACATTGGGCATTGTTGTCACATTTCTGTGAAGAAATCGATTAAAAGATATTGATTAAAAGATGACAATCATCATTAAAAAAAAAAGGTGGTTACATTGAAATAATTAAATGTTCTCACTCCCAGTATTTCAGCCATTTTCATTACAGAAAAAACATGGTAAATATCATCCAGGACAGGAAGAAATTTAAACTCATACAGGTAAAACCTGTCGTGTTTGTACGAAAGTGAAAGAAAAATAATTTTGAGCCTGAGTTTTGAAAAAAGAAATTCATCTTCTGAATCTGAAACTATAAAACCACTAGTGTGTAAATACCTGTGTTAGTACACAGGCTAAGTGCTGGCAACTGGTTGATTATTTTTCTAACATTGACCCTGACGATTTGATCAGCAGTATTGACATACATAACATGTAGTCGTTGGCCAGGCTGGTTAAATAAAGTTTTTGGTAGTCTTGGCATTTTTCGTCTTCTGTAGGAAGAAGTACCAGAACCTCAGTGTATCATGATTGGTGCTTGTTCAGTGCAAAGAAAAGAAACAATCTGCACAGCAGATTGTATTTTTAAAAAATGTGAAATAAGGTTTTCAATGCGAGTCAAACGTGCCTCCATTGTATTTTAAAAAAAATGTAAAATAAGGTTTTCAAAGTGGGTCAAACGTGCCTCCATTGTATTTAAAAAAAATGTGAAATAAGGTTTTCAAAGTGAGTCAAACGTGCCTCCAAAATTAATGGGAATAACGTAGGGTTTGTCATAAATGTGGCTTAGTTAGGGTTTTGACTAAGTCTACTGCATGTACTCTAAAAAAAACTTGCTGCTTTATTTCCCCAACAGGGCAAAGCTTGTTTCCCCCAAATGGAAAACCTTCAAAGGAATGCGGCTGAGCTGGAAGGACAAGATCAGATTGAACAATGCCATCTGGAGAGAGTGGCACCAACAGTGTAAGTTCAAAACACCATGTACTGATATGTAGGATTACACAGACTCAGAGATGGGAACTAGTCTAGTTCATTGAATTTTTTTTATGGATTTAATATTTGCTAGGCTATTGAGTTGGTGACTATTGAGTTGGCTATTCATTCGTGGGTTTGGCCTACATGTACATGTAATGTAACAATAATGCTGCCTTAATGCTAACCTTCCTCAATCCTCCAAAATCCTCCAGGCGGTTTTGGAGGATTTTGGAGGATTGAGGCGAATGGCAAAAAAAGTGTTGGTTTATTGTTGGGGATGTGTTGCGTCTAGTTCATAGGCTTCAATCTGCATTATTTACATGTATGTTTAGCCATGCATAATTGAGCCCTGGATCATGCCTTATCATCCGCACTGCTTCTGAATGTCATCGGTACCGCCTCAACCCATTAACAGTGATGATAGTTGGAGGATTTTTAAGGATTGAGACAATGGTCGGCCTTCTACTGAACGAATTCAAGCAATAGCTATGATATTTGGAGGATTGAGGCTGAATCCATTTTGTTTTACAAAATTTTAATTTATTTAACATGTTTAATTACTGGCCATGTGCTTTTATTGTCTCCAAATGATTAAATTTCTGTCTCAAAAATATATTTGTTTCAATTTTATAATTATTTCCCATTTGTCACTGACATGAAATATCTTTGAAAATTATAATTGAATAATAAAAGGCTTGTGTGGTATCAACAGATTTATTCAAAGATAAGGCAAAAACCAGGGAGTTTGAAGTAGTAAATTTTAAGTGAGAAATACATTTGGATAAATATTACAGATGTCCATTAGAATTCAAGCATCAATTTTGTTTTCAGTGGCCTTGTCCCGCTAAGCACTCTCTGTAATATGAATTATTTAGTATTTGACAAGGAATTATAACGCACTTCCCAGGCTAGATAGAATTACTCTGCAAAAGACATTGACTTTGGTTTGCTGAGACAATGAATCTTCTATGAGTAGCTTGCAGTAGCCTAAGCTAATATCACTTGTGTATTTGTAAAGGAACGCAATGGAAAGATTTGGCATTGGACTACATACACTGTATATGTATACACATGCAAGTATGCACACATCAATGCTCAGCTAGCTAGCCTAGGCTGCACAGAGAAATGACATTAACCGTAACCGCCCTGAATCCTTCAAAATCCTCTTTGCCGAAGTGGAGGAATTTGAAGGATTGATGTTACACGGCAAAAGTGCGTTACTGATTGCGTAGGATGCACTTTGTTAAGGTCTTTGGCCAGACCTTGTGTTAATTTTGCTCAGCCATGCTCCGTACTGCTCCAGATTGTCACTAAACAAGCCTCAACATTATTGACACTCACTGCCACACGATTTTGCAGGATTTAGGCAGTGGTCACCCCTCCATGGACCATATTCAAGAAATAATGGAGGAATTTTGCAGGATTGAGGTATATGCTGTTTTTCCATGAGGCCAAGTGGAGGATTTTGCAGGATTGAGGCTACATCCTTGCAAAAAGGCCTAGGAAGTTAGGGTTAACAAGTACAGCCATATTAATTTAAAAATCATCTGTTTTTCACCACTTTTACCACGTTACTACCGGTACATGAACAAGAAAAAATGACATTTTCAGATGTTCAGCTCAATCAGCTGATTTCGATCCGGTCATGCCTGCTTACATGTAAGCATCCTGTGAAATTATGGCACCTGGTACATGTACATCGTTGAAAAAAAAACTGAGTTCAAAAATTCAGCAAATTTAGTAAGTCCACATTATTATTTGCAGTTGGTTTCCTGACCCGACAATTCCCTGACATCCATAAATTGCTGTGTTTCGTCTGAAGTACATGTTAAGATAAGGGGACCAGAATACAAGAAGAACATTTTTTCTTGTTTTTTTTTTCATGGACATGAACCCAAATCATTCATGAACACCATACATGAACACAAAACTTCAAACAGGTCAGTGTAACAATATTTCCATCCATTCCTGAAAATCACAGCAAAAGCAAATGTTGTAAATTACCTTTAACATTGAAAGCCTTATAGTTGTATCCATTTGCATGCAACTCTCTGTTATTGTCTATACACTTATTTGCTTGAGAACCATCCAGCACAAGTGTTTCATCAAACAATGCAACCACTGATTTTATCACAGTCCACAGAAATGAACCAGAAACTCTTACTGCTAGAGTAAACAATCAATTTTCTATCATTCGTATAATTAGACCCTGTATAATTAGATCCATTTGCAGTAGCAAATACAGCTCTCCAATTACTCCCTGCCAGTCCGGAAACTGAGAATGATCCAGTGACAGTCAGGTTTCACTGTCCATCTTTTGTGACTTATGGAGTGCACAGATTGAAATGTCAGTGCTGGTTATTGGTGAACCATCTAGGTTGCCATTCTTAATGTTGACAACCCTATTTCAAATTAATATCTTTCTTGCAGAATTGCACAAAATACCAACGTTAACCATAAACACCTTGAGTAATTTTACTAGAAACCCTCCTCACTCTTGCAAAATCCAACACCATAATGGTCAATTCTACACCCAAACTGTTAGACTCTGATTATGGTGGTATGCCTAACCCCATGTAAAGCACTTTACTAGTGCAGTACTCACTCCAACAGATTCCAACAAAACATTGGATTTTGAAGGGTTAGGGTGGGTAGGGTGAATACGAATCTTTAAGGGATTTCTAAGGTCAAAACTAGTGTCCAAGTTCTTATAAAAAAAGCTCAAGAACTTTTACTGCAAATAACACACCTGGCATCATCGTACATGTACATATGTAGCTCTTCTTGTATACGGACTACAGTACCAAGTTGTAGCAAAAAGTAGCAATAGATGTGCATTTGTTTTTGTTTTTGTTTTTAAAACGTTACTTTGTTGTATTCAGCGGAATCGAAACAAACAAGTCAACATTGCCCAGATGTTCACTAAAAAGGACTTTACATACACAAGTGGTATAATTTTATATTCTGAATTGTATTCAGACCACCATACTGAACACTTCTTGTCCCGAGGGAACAGACAAATTAACACTGTGTCAAATCCTGCAATTTTCTGTAACAGCGTACAATGCCTGACTGTGACGCAGGCCAGGATTCCTGTGACATACATGTACATGTAAATAAATTCTTTGGACAGATCTAGCCCCAGGTACCTGCATTTGTATGTAAACAACCGGATCTACCGTACATTAAATCATTGTGATGCAGTGTTCAGCACAATGTAGGCCTTGTATTCAGTACAGTGTGGACGCCAAGAATTCAGGGCAGGGAAAATGAATTTTGTCCTTCTAGGACAGTTTATTGCTGCGCAACTCCATTTTTGCTGTGCACTCAAAGTCTGCGTTCTCTATGATTTCTCAGACATGATCAGGCTTCAGAGTTTGTGCACTCTATGTGATAATACATGAATCAGTACACATCTCCATCATGTCCGTTTGGCTAGGCATCTCATGGATTCTGCATTAACCCTTTTGCTGTCTGAACAGTCACACACAGTCAAAAATAAATATCGCGTTTTGGAAATAAAGTCTTCATTTTTTTCCCAGCAACGTTCCTGAATTCTCCGGAATCGGTTATTGGAACATGTCCAATTGGAATTTCACCCTCCAGCACAGTGCAATATTGTACATGTGTACATTGAACCATACATTGGAGACCTATAGGGACATGTACCGGTAAATAAAGGGAATGTACATGTACATTGTACATGTACATCATTGCCTTTTGCTGTAATTTTCAGAAATGAACTGTTGGGGGGGGGGGGTGTGTTAGTATAATAGATCAAATATTGTTACACTGACATGTTTGAAGTTTTGTGTTCGAAAATGCTGGAAGAACCAAGGAAAACAAAAATGTTCAAGTAGTCTGGTTCCCTGACTCCACTTAAGATGAAATGGATCAAAAATGCCGGAAAATTGTTATAAGGTAAGGGAACCAGTCTAGCTGATCTGATACACCGTGTCCTCTGGAGACATGAACACAATAGGGAACAAAAGATTATATACGTCTCCACAGGGCAATTTCTATATAGATGAATACGTCTCCACAAGGTTTTCACGAAATAGATATGGATTTTACTCAAAAACTAGGAATTTCCAGGGTAGTAGATCTGTCGCAAATGGAAGAGTTTTAGAAAAGGGATATATTAAGTCCGAATTTCAGCCAAGGAAATTGATTCTGATAAAATAGAGCATTTTGAAACAACACTTTCAAACTGGAAAACTTTACTACACGAGAACACAGAAATGTCTCTACAGGGATACAAATTTCAGTATGCGTGGCCTGCATTCGTTCATGAACATGGAACCAATAGCAAACAAAATTTGGACTGAAAAAAATGGTAAATTTGGAGCAGTAGTTGAAAAATAGTTAGGTTTTCCAACAGTGGTCGGCCGACTACCGTTGGAAATGTACATGTATACAAAATTTTACATGTTTTTCTTGAAAATGACTTCACACCAGGTGCCATAATTTTACAGGATGTTTTAGACTGTCATTTACCAACATCCTACAAATGTAGTAAGGTATTTTGTAACAACTTGGTAGTTTTATTTTTCGATGTTTGCAAATGTTGTATTTTCCCTTTAAGACTGCAGTGCGAGTAGCTGGACAACTAATTAAAGCTTATCATCAGTGACTCATTCGGGCTTGTTAAAGCAGGCAGGAGTCGCTAGGAACACACACAAATCAGAGATAGATTGTCTACATGTATTGCTGTATCATAAATCATTTTTCTGTTGTTGTCCACGCTTGACGTGTATTCATGGATATTTGATTGGTGCTTCCATGCACGTACACACCACATGTCGTGACCTTTCCTAGGTCAGCACATTGGTAGTAACTAAGCACTGCTTAAGTCCACTATTGTGAAGAGCAGCGAGTCAACCACAGTGTCCGTTGTACACATTGATTTCTATAAAACGGTGTATTTAAGTGGTGTTGATTAAATTAAGGTCAAGGTACTAGTCCTCTAGCTTGAATGGTGCTGGACT